GGTAAAACGGAAGAGAAGAAGAGTGCTTTTAGTGAAATACATCACAATCGTTCTAATTAATTCCATTAGCTTGTTTCCCGGATAAATTTGTGTTGTTCGTTTCGAATTTGACTTCGACGGGCATTGAGTTAGACTCATGAAGCGTGTGAAGCCAAAAACAAATCCCTTGCTTACTTCCTAAACAAAACATTTCGTCTATCGAGGTCAACGATAAAAGACGTTATATAAAAAGATTGATTTTTTGTTCTATTTTGTTCTCTTACGAATTTCTTTTGAGAATTGTGTTAGAAAACGTATTACAGAAAGGCAAAGATGCAACTGACTGACTCTATAAAATGAAAAACAAAGAAAATACTGTAGAATGCTATGAACGAATAATATAAAGGATAATTTGGAAACAAATATCTCGGCTGGATTAAACTCAAGGAGAAAAACAAGAAGAAGAAGAAGAAGAAGAAGAAGAAGAAGAAGAAGAAGAAGAAGAAGAAGGAAAATGAAAACGAGAAAAATCGCCAATAGAGAAGTTGAAATATAAAAAAGAAGAAAAAGAAATATAAAAAGAAAAGCTATACTTTTCTCGCTAAAGATTCGTAGTACGGTCCTTTGCGACATTCGTTTTACAAGGGAAAGAATTTTCGTTAGGTGAGGTAAAAGCAACACGGTACTAACAGGATTGGTCGGTAACAACGGATAAACGAAATACGCTTTACTTATTTTCAAGGATTACCACGCGCTAGAATTTGGTGTTAGTAAGAAATGAAGAAAAGTTCTCGAAGAGAAAAGTTGAAGTGAGTCGTGAGAACAGTGAAAATCCCCCTTGACAGAATACGAACGAGCTAGGAGAGACCCGTTTTAATACCTACTGCACACAATACCCCCGTCCTATCTCAATTTGTTCCTTTATCAGTCAACATTTACCCTCGCTTGCCTTCCTCTCCTTATTCCACCCTTTTCATCTCAACCCCTCCTCCCCCTCGTGTTTGCGATTAATTATGTCTTATTAAATGCTTAAGCCGTTACTCGCGATTCGCTTGAGATACTTCATTAAATATAAAAATATTCGTTTAGTTGTATGTGTTATTGAGAAAATTGGCATTGGAAATAAAGAGAACAAGATTAAGAGAAAGAATAAAAATGAAGATAGGAAATTCGTCGTTGTATCGCGATGCAAAGAAAACAAATTATACGTATTTTAGTAGAGACTTTTTCGCAAATGTATCGTCACTGGATGAGACTCGCGTTCTAACTTTACTTTCCTTAACTTTATCGTTGGTGTTACAAAGGAAAAAAGAAGAGAAACGTTGTGATTTGGCTTATCCCCGCAGCCCTGCGCCCTAGTCTGTACTTAATCCTCGTAAGATATACGTGTGCCACATAGTAATTTACTTTATGAAGCTTTTCCTCCAACGCGGGGTCATCACTTTCTCCCTTTTATATCGACCTTTGTGCTTAACCCCTCTCTCTCTCTCTCTCTCTCTCTCTCTTCTTTTTATTTCTCTATTTATCTCTCCCATTCATTCTCTCTCTCTCTCTCTCTCTCTCTCTCTCTCGTTTTCTTTTCTTTTTTTTCGGTATCTTTCTCTTTCTCTTTCTCTCTCTTTCTCTCTATCTCGGTAGTTCTCATAAGCCGTAATAACCAGGCCGACGCCGAAGAACGATGTCGACAATGATAAACGTCTTTACTTGCTACGCCTGCGAAAAGCAGAAGACACCGTGTTACCGCTCGAGGACAGAGAAAACGCAAAGATATTGCACGACCTGCGGCACGAAGGACTAAAAGAGGAAGAACTAATGTGACGGTGATATAAAGTGACTTATGGAGCCAAACGGAAACTTTCGATTGCCTAAGGGAAAATTGCGGCGAACCGCCAAACACGTTCGTTCATCCTATACTATTCCTCCTTTATATAAATATATATATATATATATAATGTTATTGCATATGTGTGTACATTTATAAATCGAATACTCTTCAATTTCTTCCTTCTTATGCTGCGCGAATAACATCGATAATAACGCTACTTCCAGCTGACGGACCACACGAACGGTCATCGAAATAGTTGGCAACAAACCCATCTCCCTTTTATTCTACATTGTTACATTTGTATTCATATAAATGCATCGCTATTCGGTGACCTGCCAAATCCGAAAATTTAGATCGCTAGCAAATCTGACTATTTTATTCGCATAGTTCACAAACACACATATGTATGCCTACTATAATATAATGCGCTTCTTTTATTCTCATTTCTTTTTTCTTTCTCTCCCTCTCTCTCTCTCTCTCTCTCTCTCTCTCAAACACACGCACAGATACACATACACATACGACCTTTTCATCTCTTTCTCTCGAAATCGAAATCTTTTTCATTATGTATTTATAAGAGATGAAAAATCAATGAAATAGATACATTCAGAAAATGCCTATATATATATATTGAAATAATATGAAAGAAATATTAATATATTGATTATAAATAATAAAATTCCTTTCTATCTTTCCTGACTGGATATATTATAACTTTTAATAATTCTATATTTTTATAAAACAATCCGATTATTTTTCTCGAAAATCTTTTACCTATTTATACGTTTTCTTACATAACGGGTGTCCCGGTTTTATTCCGCAACATTTGACCAACATATTATATAAGTCAAAATAAGAAAACAATGTTATATAAACGTGGACTTTTAAAAGCTTCATTAAAAAATTATAACAAAAACACGAAAAGGCTTGTATTTCATCGAACTCAACATAAGAAAACATTGCCGATATTTATTTGAATATCTAACGATAACATATTCAAAGTTCATTATTTATCTAAAAGATTAATTGCACAGTCTTTTTTAAATTTCATACAAATTAATTTGTAATTAATACTGGTAGAAAATAATTCCATTATTATTTCAATTTTATTATTTTTAAATTCAATTAAATGATTTTCCTATACGACAATGATTAAATAAACATTACCCTTAATGATGGATAAGTCAAAAAGACGAATTCCTTGGCCCCTAAGATCAGCAAATATTACGTCAATGTATTTTTACTTGTGAAAATAAATAAAAAGAGAATAAGAAAAAGTTTATCAGACACAAATTAATATGCATCGGGAATGAGTGCAAAAAAAAATCGTGACGTACTTGCTGCAATTATGGAAAATGAAGAAAAAGAGAGAAATAAGTAACGCAATAAATTGTATTTACCGTAGATGTCAGTCCTGCATTCATAACAACAGACAATATTTTGAAATAGAATTATTCCTATGTGGTATCGAAGAAAAAAATAGTCCGTTTTCATTTCGCATTTCTCTTTGTTATAATTTTTTTTATAAATTATTTTAAAATCGCGGATATATTTTGCATAAACATTATTTTCTTTTAATTTATTTATAAAATACACATATGTTAATAAAATTTAAATTGAAATAAAAAAATGTGTAATAAAAAATAAATATAAATCATTTTTCTTATCTAACAATTAGATATTTTTTTACGCTTCATTTGCAATTAGCAAGAGAAAAAAGTAACAAATGTATGTAAGTTGAGATACCTCATAATTTTTCCACTTATATGACAACTTGACCTAACGAAGAAGAACACGCCTATATAATTGTTCCTACTTAGTTAGCAATTCTAAACGAGCCGATGAATATCAACGAGTTTATATATGTTGATCGAATAAAATTGTATCCTAAACGATACACTTGACTTTTATTAGTATAGTTTTAATTTATTAACTACACTATATTATCTATTACTTTACGATTGTAAATGATGTATTTAAAAGATAATCTCTATGATTGTTTCACGTACGTTTTTCTAACATATAAGAAGAAAAAGATCTTGGAATTGGTCGTAAAAATATAAAAGAGATAAAAAACAGAAGATTAACAATGACAAATCATTTGATTTGTATTGAAATTTTTTCAAGAAAAAAAGGTCGATCTTAATCAAATGATCCTTCCCGTGTGAAAACTTATATTAGTTAAAGAAAAAAAGAAACTTCTTTCTCCAAATCGAACGAATTCCGTAATGAATCGAAGTCCACGATCGAATAAAAACGACATCGGTTTTGACCAAGGTCTTCTGATCGAATAGTTAACGAGAAGAAGAATAAAAAACGAAATCTCGTCGATTGCTGACATAAAGGATCGAAAGATGCAAACTAGATAATTGTTTCTTTCATTGTAATAACTTTATGAATATTTTTTTAGATAAATGTACATATGTATATACATATATGTGCGAATATGCACGCGTACAAAGGTTGAATCATTTGCATTTACTTTGACTTTGAAATTATACGGTAAAAATCTGATATTTCATCTAATATATACAAATGGTTTTAAAAAAAATAAAACATTAATGACTTTACTATCATTTTCGAATATTTTTCAATCATTAACAAGAAATGTCATATTATCGTTGAGTACCATGATAAAGGGATGACACAAATATATGATTGTCGCGAATATCTAAGCCAGTGTTTAGGCCAACACATGAAGAAATATAACTAACACTTTTTATTTAACAAGAAATAACATTGGTCATTTCAACCGTGATCCTCCCATTGATCCTTGTCACTTCGACGTAATAATAGAACGTAACTCCTCACAAGCGAATAGAATTAATAAATCATTTAGTAATGCATCGCTGGAGAGAATAACATGATATCATAATTCATTTATCAACGAAGTTACTCGGACGCGTTACAGAGACAAAAAAGAGAAAAAAGAAAAAGATAAAAAGAAGGAACAAGATGACTTCGCATTTGAGAAATCGGTGTCCACACGACGACACATCGCGTGCGATGTTTTCGTTAAAAGTTCTCGAAACTTCTTTTTGAAATGACTCGTAAACTTGTTCGAAAAGTATATACGATACCAGTCCTTGGTTTGGTTGAGGTTTTTACGATTTTAGAAGTGGACAACTTTCTTAAAAGTCGACTGCAAAAGATGCATCGACCAGTTTGCGAAAAATATTTATAAATTCGAACGCGAAAACGAGTGATTCTCTTCTCCCCCATCATTTTAAGAAAAGAAGATTTCACAAATATTTGGATATATGTGTATTATACCAATAAGGTTATATCTACTTAGAACGGAAGTTGATATAAATATTCAATTAGTAGAGTCTTCAATCACACTTTTGTTCACACAGTATACGCAGGTTCGCGATCGTAGCAAAAACTTATTCGAAATAGTGCAGTGGTGGTTCATAAAGAAAAAAGTCGATTCAACATATTATCCTGTGTTTTTGAGAAAAAATAAAATAAAATGAACGAGACAACGAATTCGTCTTTTACAGTTGCTAACGAAGAAAAAGATACCAGAGACGAGAACCTTGCTAAATGGGAAATAGTGCTATTAGCGAATATATTAATTTTCACTATCTTTGGAAATAGTTTGGTATTGTTGTCTTTATATTTAAGAAAATATCGTGCCCATAAAAAACTCAGTAGGATGTATTTCTTCATTATGAATCTTAGTATAGCAGATTTATTGACAGGTCTGCTCGACGTCCTACCTCAGCTTGCTTGGGATATAACTTTTAGGTAATAATCTTTGATCTTTGAATCTCGTTAGATTCTATGATACGTCATCTAAACGATAATAATAATGATAATTAAAGTGGATATAAAATGAAATAGATTTCAGGGTGGGCTGGTGCTCTGTAAGTTGGTGAAATTCTTTCAACCATTCGGCCTTTATTTGAGCTCTTACATTCTAACAGCAACGGCGATCGACAGATATCACGCAATTTGTCATCCTTTAAGTTATTGCAGCGTTACATCAAGACAATCTAGAATAATGGTTTATTGCGCTTGGTCCTTCGCATTGATTCTCTGCATACCTCAAGTAAATATTTAAATTACGATTAAAAAGGAATTTGTCTATTTTTTTTTCTGTTCTTTTTTTTTTTTTTTTTACTATTATCTACCGTACCTTAACAAATATGAAAAAGAACAGAATTTATCGAACATCGTTCACATATCTATAACCGTTATATTAAATTTCCAGTTATTCGTGTTTTCGTATCAAGAAGTAATGCCAAGAATTTGGGACTGCTGGGCAACTTTTGACATTCAGTTTGGTGAAAAAGCTTACGTCACGTGGTAAGCGATACTCCGTTTGCTTTTATCTTTCTTACCTTTCCGTATTTCCCTCATTTCTTCCTTCCTTCCTTCCTTCCTTCACTTCTTTTTTTCTTTCTTTCATCTTCTATTATCATTTCCCTCGAATCAAGATTTACTTTGCTTCTCATTATTACAAGAGAACGTAAACGCGGAAGAAACTTTAGAGTTCATTCTTAACATAGGTACAGTCTAATGGTCTTTCTCTTACCATTCATCGTTCTCGTATATACCTATGTTGGAATCTGTGTTGGTGTGTGGCAAAGTAATAAGATGTCCGGTGCCGTCGACGATAGAGCATATATTAGAAGCATCAGCAATTATTCTCGTAATCGAAGTTCATTTATCTCTAAGGCGATGATCAATACCGTTAAGCAAACTATAGCTGTAATCACTCTCTATGCTATAACAAGTATTCCGTTTATTGGATGCGAACTCTGGGTAAGCTGGGATACCAAAGCTTTCGAATCCTCTTTCGCAAATGGTAAATATATAAAACTTCTTTTATAAGAATCTTAAAAGGAAAATGTGTTTTATCGTCAATTATTAAAAGATCTTTCTTTCATTTTTTTCAGGCCCCGCGTTCACGATCCTAGCCCTTTTAAACAGTTTAACCAGCTGCGTTAATCCATGGATATATTTATCATTTAATCGAGAACTACGTCAGACGCTAATGAATTATTTCTGCAATCGTAATGAGCATTCGCAGAAATATTACGGTATAAAAATTCTTCGAAGCCCTTATCGCGCTTGCACAACCGAACGATAATATGTCGCAAAAAAATAAAACCCAATATTTACAGGTCAGAGAATGATGCGTCGCAGTGACTCGAACGACACGTCGACGAGGATATCGTTGATGTCAAGGATATCGCGATATACTAGTTCAATAATTCGCCGTTAACGAAGAGGACTCAACGATATATAGGAGCGAAATAAAATCAAAATGCACATTCTCGTCTCTTTTTGGCGATAGGAACAAGTGTGTCGTCGGGAAAAAATATTAATTAGTTTTTTATTATGATCGATACGTTAAGGAAATATTTTATTTTTTTTTTATACCACTCCGACGTAAACGCACTCTAGCAAATAGGCGCATTCACAATTTTTGTACTTTTTATATACATATCCATTACACATGTGCATTACGCTCGAAAGCTCATAAAAATTCAAAACCGATGTATAATAATATTATATTATACATACATAAGTGTGTACTTGCGTGTAAATAGGAATTTATACATGCATATATATTATTATATGTACATGATGTACATGCTTGTTTTGCGTAGTAAAATGAGACGAAAAAGATTCGATTTGAAGCGTGCTCACGTTGAAGTATTTTTGAGGACGTTTTCAACTCGTAATTTCCATCGTTTCCTCTTTTCAACGAACGACATTCTTACCGAACTGTTATACTTACACGGTTCTGCCTCATTAGTATTTCTATCGAACGAGCGTCTATTATGTTTCGATGTTTGTATTCCCCATGTTTATACCGATCATCTCAGGGATTCTCACGGCGATTGTAATATCCCACGCCAGGAGCGTGCACTGACATAAAATAATTATTTTTCTCGTATATTTTTCGTTAAACATAGAAAAGAAGAGAAAGAAATGTCCCCTTAAAAAATATCCTGAGCGACATCTTAATTAACCTAATTGCCATTGTCTCGATCCTTTTCTCTATGGATATATTATTCGAAATGCGATACTGACTCGTTGAAAATAATGTAAAAATAAGAACAAAAAAAATGAAAAAAGTGGAAACAACAATATTGATACTTTCCTGGAAAAGTAAACAATGCACTCGGCACGTCGAAAGAACTTAATACAGCAATGAATGAGAACCCCTTAACGGAACACCTGAATACTTAATAAACGGATAAAATTAACATTAATAACGACTGTCTGTGCCCGATCCACATTTTATCCGAGGACAAACGAGAACGACGCTCGTCCAAGATATATTCCATACGAGGGCGTCATTTGAGGAGGACTAACTCTCTCTCTAGTTTTTCATTTTTCGTTGGGAAGAGGAGTGAAAATTCGAAAGACTTTCTTCGTACGAAACGGTGGCCCACGTCTGACTTCATCTGGCATGGAACAGAATCCGGAAAGATATCCGAACGAATTATCGAGAAACGAGGTACTATCATTTACGACTTCTCTCGCGATCGAAGCTATGCTTTTATATCGTTTGAGAAGCAATAGAAAGAGTACAAAAGGAAAGATGAGAAAGACAGATAGATAGATAGATAGATAGTTAGATAGATAGATAAATGGATATACATAGAAAAGAAAAAAAGGAGAGAAAAAGAAGGATATTTCTTTTTCAGTCCGAAAATGAGAGCAACGATGAAGAATACGCGCGTTCCCCTATTTTACTCGATTTAGACGAAAATTCAAAGCAACAAGAACTACGAGAATTGGAACATGAACGAGATCGTGAACGACAACGGCAGGACGTCGTCAACCACCAAGAAACGATTTTACCGAACGTACTATCGACAGCCGATCAACACCTACAGGATCAATTATCGCAAAGTGCATCAGGTACCTTTCGAGTGATTCAACGTATTGCTCGTCGTGGTATATTCGACGGATCTTGGTAATCAACGAAATGGAAGAAAACGGTTGGTTTAGCGAACGAACGATCGATGCTCCTCTTCTATTCGCTTCTTCGCAATTAACTTAAAAGAATCAAATGTGCCTTATTTCGTAAAGAGATTATCGCACTCTTCGGGATTATCGTTTAGAAAAATAACCCTCTCGGGGAGAAAAAAAAAAAAAAAAAAAATAAAATAAAATTCAACGCCTCGGCGCTTCCAAAGCGAAGAAGCGAATTAAGGTCCCTCGAATGTCCTCGTCGAATTCGATCCTCGATTTAAAGCTATCGGTAATAGCGTCATTAGAATATTTTTCCTACAGACGATCCGACCGTGATTCGACGTCAATCCTTGAGAAGAAGGTGGCAAGGTCCTAGTAATATCGACGAACGCCAACAGAACTCGGACAATGTGTTAATTATAAGAGTACCGGAACCGGAAATAATAGGTGGCCATCCGCAATTGGAGATACTTCACGAAACGAATATCAGATCGATACAACGTGAACCCTCGCAAACTGAAAAAGGTGAAAATTCTATCGAAATTAGTGCCGTCGATATCACGATGAAACTTTTAAAATTGTCTTGATAATAATTATTTCATTGGCGTGCAACTTCTAAATAAGTTTATTCAAAATCTCGCGATAAATTCAACAAAGAGGACTGCTTAACCGTGGCGAATCAAGTTTCTCGTCGTATACTTTAGAAGGAAAAGTATTTTCGGCAGGCAATCTAGCTTGTAATTCTCGTTGCAATAACATTACCCGTAGATTCTTATCACGCGTACGTTGAATTTGTCTTACGAACGTAGAAACGATCTCTTCCCGCGATTTCTCCTCAACGATAGGGTTATCTTCTTTGCGATAAACGAGATACGATCTTGATCTCGTAACATCGATTTCTGCTTCTTCCTCCTCCATGGCATCTTTCTTTTTACTTTTACCCATTATTTGAGAAAACAAATTTATAATCAATTGCGTAATCCAGCTGTTCCTCCATCGACTCGAATGCCGTTTATTTTCACGATTTATACGTCGATCGTTCATCTTCTCTCTCCTGAACTCATGATTTTCGATCGAATCTATTTCTTTTTCATTTTCTGTCCTGTCAACAGCAACATCTATGTCAGACCGCTCTACCTTCGTTATAATAATCGATTCTGAAGACCCTCGTTGAAGATCTCCATCAGTTTCTACAAAAACTTCCCGAAAAAATCCTTTCGAAAGTTCTTCGTTAGACGCGTATAAACCATCGTCGTGATCGACCAAAGCCATTTCAATAGATTTTTCCATCAAATTAATTTTTCTCCCTTGATTCTTTGGCCTCGAATTAAAATTAACAGAAATGTCCTCATTGTCGATAAAATTCCTCGTTTTATTGCTCGACGTATTTTCCAAGAGAAACATCACGGTCATTTTTTCACGAGTATGAGGCAATGGATTTTTAAAATACTGTGCATCGTTTAATCTCGTCCCTAACGAGCATAACGAACGGAAATATAACAAATTATTAAAGCAAAGGACTACAAAAGATATTCACTAACCTTTTCGACTCGACTTCATTTTTAATCAAATTTTGTAAGTAATTCTAAATGAAATTTCAAAATGAAGTTTCAAAATGAAGTTTCTATGGTTCTATTCTATTCAACGAGGTTTATACTTCATACCTTCGAATTATTTACAAAGTTAACGCTGCATCCTACGAAATTACGAATTTATTCGACTCGAGTATTTAAGGCATCGTTAATTTTGGATTTTCCTGTCATTTATTTTTCACCAAATTCACTATTTTTTCTCGCCAATGTCATCCATCTTAAAGATTAATGATAAAACAAACAAAAAAAAAAACAAACAAAAAATATATATATATAAGGAACGATCCATATACGACATATCGAATATGCAATCGAATTTATTGTTATAGATAAACTAGGAAAAGTTAACGATATGTGACATACAATTAATAAAACTAAACTAAAATGATTAATGAAACAAAGAATTTACCCGATCGATCATTGCGTACGCAGCAGATTTTATATTCAATTTGTTTTCATTTCAGACTACAAAAAGTCAGCATGCGATCGCGAACGAACGAGAATGAGAGACATGAATCGTGCTTTTGAACTCCTCAGATCAAAGCTTCCAATATGCAAACCTCCAGGTAAAAAATTATCGAAAATTGAATCACTTAGGCATGCCATAACATATATCAGACATTTGCAAAGTTTATTGGAGCCTCAATATAATTACGTTCCAAATGTATCAGAAAGAGCAACGTATTATGGGAATCCTACTGGTACGATACCCTTCGAAATACATCATCCCAATCGATGGGAATCTTTTAGCTACTATCGTTATGACTATCATACTCCTTACGCCACTCCCTCTCCTCCCAGTTTGACATCATCCTTGCATCCACGATTATCCTGTGATTCAGAGGAACGATCGTTCCCGTATGATTCACGACATTAATATATTCAAATAAGAAATAACATGTATTTTATTATACTTATATTAGATTGTATTTAAGTTACAATAAAGAAATTAAATTTTCATATTTCCGTTATTGCTATAGCATTTTTTATCTATATCTATATACCTATAAACCTATATACATACGAAATAAATTAATATCAAGATTCTCTTATTGTACAAAATTTACAAAATCTTACGATACTTATGAAATATTATATTCTGCAATAAAATTAACTATCATCCAAATATTAACGATTAAATAATAATATTATATCTCGTTTGTTGAGCTGTATTTGGCGGAACAGTTGTAGGGTGTATATGAAGAGGTAAATCCCAAATCATCGTTTCAACGTCCAACGTCGGAGGCCCGTGCCAACTGACCGTGTTTTCAAAAGGCATTTCAACTAATTTTGAAGTAGTTACAAATTCAAAATGTAATCTCCACCTTAACGTAACCAGTTCTGTTGTAAAATCTGGTGTTACGTGTAACGGTATAGGTAATACCAAATGAGAGTATTTCAAACCCAAACACATTTCATGATGTTTGTTATAACTAACTAAAGTTGGTGTTGTAGACTTTCCTCGTCTGTATTCCTCCGCGACATGTTCCTCCGATTGTAAAGCTACGGACACTTGCGCGCATGATACAGTAGCATTAGAAAAATCGAATGTACCAACAATGTCCTCCCCTAATTTATAAGAATTTTTGAAAAGACAAAATCTAACTACACGTCCACGCCCATTGGTTATATTATAAAAATTTGGACTTCTCCTTGCAGTTAGATTCTAGAAGAATTTTTTGTTTAAGTATTTTGATATTATAATATAATTTTCAATATTTTTCTATTAATTTTCAGTTAACTAACCTGAAGAGTTTGAAGCGCTATGTCTAATGGAGTTTCTCTATGCTGTGTTTCCATAAAAGGATTATTGGGACTTAAATCTACACTGTCATTGCATGTCGTTATTTCTGACAACTCTATAAATAAAATAATTTACATGAAGAATAAATAATATACGACTTTTCTTATAAATACATAGATATAATAAAAACAGATGTAAGATATATGATATGAAATAAAAAAAGTTACCGCTTAAAGATAATACTCTAAATGGTACGCGTAGAAGTTTGATAGCTGTGTTCACTCGTTGTGTTCCAATTGTGATTTTATAAGAATATTTTACTGCCTGACCTCTATATGAAGGAGGAGCGTCGCTTGGAATTGTTTCTCTATAAATATCTATAAATAAAATAATATATTAATATATATATTTATATAATACCTTTTTATATATATTTTTATATAATTTATCTTATATCATATAATAAATTTAATTATACATATTTATCACATGCTATATATGATTATATATATTACATGTTTTACTTTCACCAGGCGATAATCTTAAATCGCAAAACAAAATTTTGGGTTTCGTATTTAATATAGCATGACCGTTATCTTGTTGCCATGGTACAAAAGTTGTATCTGTAAAAATCCAAGCATTAATAATCATCCGAGCCTTACTACAGTCAATAAGTTATATTTTGATAATAATCTTGCACTCTTACTCGCATTTATAGCTGCCAATCTAGCAGTCGTATTTAACCTATCTGAAAGTACCACTTTACTATTCATAGAACATTGGCAATGAATTTGAGCACTGGCCCAAGCAAGACTTTCAAAAAAATCACTGAATCAAATAAATTAACATTATCCTTTTTTATATAAAACTATACGACATAAGCGACAATACCTGTGGCTTTGTGATATTTGATGAATTGGATTGGGAGGATTACTAAATGTAACATAACATTCAATGACTTCTCCAGAAAAATATACAGATCCTCTGATAAGTTTAGCAGTAACTTCAATCATGGTTTTCAATGTTTCAATTTACTTAATCTTGTTTATAGAAACCTTTCTTATAACCTCAAAAAAGAGTTTATGTTTTATCCATAAAAGACTAAAACTGTAATAGAAAAAAGAAATTACAAATATTATATGCAAATAATATAAGAAAAAAGAATATTATTAAACGTTTTAATACTAAAACCAATAGAAATTTATTAATGAAACAAAATTAAAAATATAATGACACACATACATACCTACATCATCTATTACTAATAAAATATAACAATTTTATACACAACAATGCATTTTTCAAATTTGACATTGCTAATTTTTTTTATTAATAAGTTAAATAATCTATAAGAGAAAGTAAAATTTATTATGGATTATAGTTTTTATATTTTCAAAATATTTAATGGTGACGTGCTGACCGAATAAGTCCGATGATTACCACTACCTAAAAAATAAAAATACAGTGAACAAAATTTTCAGTGAATTTTGTGAATATTAGTTCGAAATACCATCTGTCTATGTTAAAAACGTATATTTTATCGGAAGTATTCTTTCTATGTATTAAATATATATATACAATTTTATATACGAATATTATTTAATATGAAATATGTGTGCTTTTGCATAATAATTGGTTTTATTAATCCATTGTAATTTTTGGTTATATAATAAAAATATTCTGTAAAACATTTGTTTAGAAGATTATAAGAATGTTATCTCAAATTTCAAAACCTATATTATATAAAAATACTGAAATTTCAGTAGATGAGTTAGTATCAAATTGCATGCATAATAATATTTTTAATAAAACTAAAAGAAAATAATTGTTATTTATAAAATTAATAGGAAATATAGACCTTGGCTTCCAATTCCCATATCATTGTTCAATTTAACTGGAAATATTGTTGATAATTTTCCTTTACCTTATTGCTGGCATTGGGATACTAATGATGTTATTAATTGGCTACAAAAAACAATTTGTTTACCTCAATACACGGTTAGAAATATAATAAACATTTTTTTAACATTTATATTCTAATTCTATTTTGTTTACTTGACATAGGAATGTTTCACTAAAAATTTTATCAATGGAAGACGGTTATTGCTAATCGATGCCTCCAAATGTATAAAAATTGGAATCCAGAACTTTGTGCATATAAAAGTTAATACATCCTTATAATTTATATTTTTTCACTTTATTTATAAACAGATTGACCTGTAACTAGTGACACATTCGTTTAGGTGACGATTCTACCTAAAAAAACAAAATAAAAAATGTAGAATAAAATTTGTTCATATAAGGTTCTGTGTTTTTGAAAAAAGAAAATTTCCAAATTTGTCAAGTACGTGTATACTTTTTAACAAATTTTATTCGACATTTTAGATTTAATGTTAGTTTTTAATTTAGAATTATCCCCTGCTCGCATGTATCACTAACTACAGGACATCCAATATATAAATGCTTCTTAAAATTGGGCATATCTGTCTACAGCTCATTACGAATGGAATTAGAAAATTATATAATATTGAACAAGAAAAATTTAATAGAAGTATTAGCCTTCCCCCGCATTATCCCTGGACACATTATTTGCTATATAAAATTCCCACTGGGCCAATCCGTGAAAAAACAAAATCTACTGAACTTTTTCAAAAAATGGGAATACTTCATTTCAAAACTGGTTGTCGTATAGATCATTGGAGAATGATGTTATGTAAATGGCCAGATTTTCCTAATTATTTGTTTGGTCTCACTAATCGTAAAAATGTATATATTAAAAAAGAACAAGTAAGACAACCACGAGGCTTCTCCTATTACAAAAATGTGCAACATTATCCAAGCTATTTTATAAAACCAAGTATAAATAAAACGAATAGACATTTTTAGTATTTATCATTGTGATGTAAAATTATTTTTGGACCAATACATTTTTTACGAAGCATATATATATATAGGTCGTATAGTAATTCATAATATTTGATTCAATTTTTATTTATTTTTTTTTTATTACTCTTTCATGCACCCACTGCATATAAGCATATCCACACATATTGGATACATAAAAACAATAGAGAAAACAATAATTTGAACAATTGTTCATACAATTTGTTATATTATATATATCTTGCTTGATTCACGATTCAAAAAAATACATTTTTTTCGATAAAATTTTACAACTATACAAATTTTCATTTTGTAAATTATATTAATTTATTATTGATTTGGTCAATATTATTTCATAAATAGAAGATTTTAAGTAAATTGCACATTACTTTTAAATAAATTAAAAATTGTGTAATATACTATGTACATGTACAACATTAAAAATATTTGTTAAGAAAATAATTCTTCTTCTGATTCTTCCTTAAAATCTACATTACTTAAAATCAATTTATTTGTATAAGTCTCTGGCATTCTTAATACAAGTTCGCATTCACTTTCATTGCTTGATACTGATGTATTAAACATAGATTTAGTTTTCTTATTTGAAGCGCTTTCAGAATAATTTTGTTTCTCAATCGCTGAACTAGTCGTCGCTTCCATTTCATTTACAAATTCCTTACCCGTTAATTTAGTTCTTTTGCGAGTAATATAAAAAGAATCTATATTTTCATTATCCGAATCTTCATTTTGATCTATGCTTTTATTAGATACCACTTCTTTCAATTTTGATTTAACATTTTTTGCACTCTTACTGTTCGTATCAGAGTCTTCGCTCTGATCTGTGCTTGTGTCATATACTGACTTTTGCATACGTTCTATATTTTTTAATCTATTTTCTAATTCTCTGATCTTTTTCTTTTTAGCATTTAAAATTAAAATAAATTTTTCATACAGTTCCTTTTCCATGTCAATTTTTATTTTTATCATTTTCTCCATGTTAACGCATAATTCCTTTTTGTTATTAGTCAGTAAATCATTTTTGATTCTTAATTCTGAAATATTTCCTTGTAATTGTTGTTGTTGTTCTAATATACCGTATAAAGTTTCCGATATATCAATAATATTTGAAATTGGACATACTGTAATCTTTCCTAAAATCCATCTATTATTCTTCCTCCATTCAAACTTATTATCTTCAAGGAAGTATTGTATTTCTACATTTTTACCGGAAAAAGCATCTTTGGTTTCCTCTAAATATTTGCTAAATGATTTCGAATGTTGTTCCGAATAAAAATTGATATCATTTGTAAGCATCTGAAACGATTACGTTTTATTGCAAAATATTAAAATAATAATCGTAGAAAATTCAATTTACCTCTCCCATTAATGGAGCTGCAGATGATTTAAGTAAAATAATCTTAAAACATGTATTCGTCCATTCGGTATATAAGATATATTTTGTCCCATCAATTTTATTTGATATTTGGGTAATAGTTATATTTAACATTCTAAATAATATCTATTTTAAATATTGATAAACTTTAAACCAGGAGATATTAATTTACTTATTTTTGTTATTTAAAAAATGAAATGTCATTTGATATTTAAAGATTTATTTGTATTAATATCTTTATGTCAAGTAGAGAAATAACCTATTTAAATACTCCATTACCACTATACAAAGATTTTTCGCACTACGATTTAAAATATTAGAATTCATTTAAATATCTCCTTGTAAATATAAACTCATTTTTATTTATAGAAAAATACTTTGGTATTAAATATTGTGAGAAAGAGAGAAACTAGTAATAATTAATATTATATCTGTTCCACACATTTGTAAAGTTGATCTGTCATAATAGCACCAACATAACCTATAATTTCTTAATTGTAAAAAATGGTAGAAAATCACATGGTATAACCAGAGAATACAGTCAGGCTATTCCATCACTTGATTCTATGATTAATATAGTTTTATTTTTGTTACAGGTGATCATCGTTGGATTTAATAACAAACCTTAGGGATTTTTTTTTGTTTGAACGCCATGAAATTTTTAAAAATATAAATATATGTATTTATAAACGTATTTCTGAAGGCACACACATTTTTATACACTAACTATTGAATATAATTATTTAAAATTTTATTACAATATAATTAAACTATATATAATACTATCAAAGAATACTGTATTCTTTTGATAGTATTGTACCGTCATCGCGTTAAGTACCTACTTTCGTCTAATAATGGCCCCATATAATTGAAATGATTTTGATTACGCGAAAACTGGACTTGTGAGCTTCTATGTACCTCTGTATTCTCTGGTTATACTATGTGATTTTCTACAATTTTTTACAATTAAGAAATTATAGGTTATGTTCGTATCTGTTAGATTGTTTAAAGCCATGTTTTTTATCTCCACTACTTTCGCTTATTATTTTAAATCAATTGAATAGTGATTTAATAATTAATAATCAATAATAAATAATTAAAACAATATATTGGTAAATTAGAGGGATATAAAAATACAAAAAAATTAATGAAGTTGATGGGGCTTGACTATTCATTATGTTCTTTTCGTTTATTTAAAACAAGAGAAGATAAAAATTTCTTTTGCATCCTTTTTTCCCTCTACCCTTTTTTTTTTAGAAGAGATTAGTTATATGACCTTACTCCTAGAGTACAATGTATAGTTCTAATTTACTCCTTAAACTGTGTAAAATTTAAAAAAATATCGGAGTTAAACTCCTTTGGTGCAACCCTTAATAGAGGTAATTTATATCTGGTATAAAAGTAATAACTATATACATATATTTATATATGGATGTATGTGTTTCTTAATATATATATATATTCATATATGTAATAATACATGTTTATTAGTATTAATAGTACATTTGACAGTACATTTATTAATACGCGAATGCGATTATATGTGTATACACATACAAATATATTTCCTCAAATGTAAAATATTAACTTGTGTATAATGTTTATGTGTGAAATTAATAATTATTTTATACTAACCAAAAATAATTTACTAAAATAATTACGTCTTATATTTATATTTGCTCTTTATCTCTCTTGTATCATGTTACTCTTTAATCTTTTAATGCGAAGTTGTTCAACTAATTTATTTTCAAAAATAATTACTTAAGTGATGTGGGGTGTATTTCTTATATCCTTTTATATATATATATATATATAATATGTTAAAAAAGCATATCAAATATTTAACACCTGTATAGTCAAGTTTACATGATAAAAGAAAATTTAAGACAAGTGTGTTTTTATTGATTATTATCAAAGAAGATAATTTATGTATTGTGATTATAATTACTTTTTTTTCTTTGACTTTTTATCTGGAATTTTTGTACCAGTCAAACTGGCTAACTGATTTTTTAACTTTAATAAAATATCTACCTGTGGCTGCCACACGCTCTTTTCTTCTTTTGCTTTTAATTTGCGCACTAAAGTGCCCTAAAATTTGTTAATAAATAATTAGAAATAATTACAGGTGTTATTCTGTATTATAACAAAAAAAATAGAAACCAATATTTAACACAATAAAATATTGGAACGTACTTGTTTTGCAATAGCTGCTTCTAAAGAATTGATGTCTGTACTAGTATCTCCATTTTGCTCAGGAGTGTACAATGGTTTAACTTTCTTATTGTTGGCAGTATCACATTTATCTGTATCTTCTTTGAGATCAGCTTGTTTATTTTGCATTTTTACAGGAACGTCCACATTAGGCTGCTGGACATTTTTATCATTGCTGTATATTACCTCTTTGACTAGTTGATCCTTAGAAAATAATAAGATTAATAAAATATACTAATTTTATTTAAATGAGTTATATATGTAAATCGAATTTACCTATTGGTTTGTAACAACTTCTAAAGATTTAACACTTACAGTGATATTATTCGTTTTCGATTGAGTACCATTAGATTCTTGTTTCCCGGAATATTTTTGCCTTAACTCTTCAATCAATTGGTCTTCTATTTTTGTAAAGAGAGGCGATGCTTTACCAATTTTGTGTCCAGAAGGTAGCATATTCATAATTGTGTCTGGGATATACCCATAACGTGTTTTATCCAACCCTAATTGTCCCCTTATTTCACGAGAAGTAGAAGGCATATAAGGTGCCAACAGAGCTGATAAAAGACACGTTAAATTACAACAAATCCCAATTACTGTCCCGGCTTTCTTCCTATTAACAATACATTTAAATAATAATACATATATAAATTTATTGATTTAATACTAATAAAAATCTAAAAATATATTCCTTACTTATCATCATCTGTACCCTTTACTTTGACCCATGGTTGTTGCGATTGCATATATTGATTTCCATGTTTCGAAATTGCTAAAACGTATTTTATACCATCTCTTAATTTAGCTTGTTCAAGTGCAATTAAATAGGATGTCAATTCACGTTGAGCTAATGCTAATAATGTCAAATCATCTTCTTGAGGTTCCATTGGTGGTACTTTAGATTCAAAAAACTTTTCTGTAAATACTAGAGCCCTAACAATAAAAATAATAGTCGTTAATAATGAGATAATAAGAATATTATATTATGTCATAAACGTATATTGCAAATTGCATACCTGTTAATAAAGTTTCCAAGATTATTTAATAACTCATTATTATTTTTAGTTGCTAAATCCGCCCAATTAAAATTTGAATCCTGGCTTTCAGGTCTAATGTATGCAAGATAAAATCTCCATACATCAGCTGGAATACCTGTTTCTCTAGCATCAGTTCCAAATACTCCAATACCTCTGGATTTTGAGAATTTAGTATCTTCATAATTCAGATATTCTAATATAAAAAACATTTGTCATTTTATAGATATGTTGAACATAATAAAAAATAAGTAAATAATAAGATATACAAATAAATTATCAATATTACACACATACCAATAGCCATCAAATGTTTTAATAACGTATAATCTTCATTAGTTGCTAATAAATAGGCAGGAAACATAATAGTATGGAATGGTACATTATCTTTAGCCATAAATTGGTACAAACTAATATCAGTGCCATTGGGTTTCCACCATTGTTCATATTCTTTAGTATATCTTTTTGTAATACTGATATAACCAAAAGGAGCATCAAACCAGACATAAAAAACTTTATTTTCAAATCCCTCAGCTGGTACAGGTATACCCCATTTTAAATCACGAGTTATACAACGTGGTTTAAGACCGTCACGTAACCATGGTTTTGTGACTCCTCGAGCCACAGCAGACCAACCTTTTTCTACTTTGGCTGACCATATCTTCAATCTATCTTCCAACTAGAATGAAACGATTTAATAATATTTAATGTTCAAGTGAAGATAAATATAGAAGAATATTATATATACAAATAGAAACATCACTTATCTTACCTTAGGTAAATCTAAAAAGAATTGTCTTGATTTCTTAATGATAGGTCTATTGCTACAGATTTTACATCGAGCATTAATCAACTCTGTTGCATTTACTAAATGACCACAACCATCGCATTGATCACCCCGAGCGTCTTCATATTTACATCTAGGACAAATTCCTTCCACAAATCTGTCAGCTAAAAATCGATTACAGGATTCACAAAGAAGCTGATCAACTGTATCCATCAGTACATATCCTTGTGATTTGATTTTTAAGAAAAATGACTGAACAATTCTAAAAATATAATTGCATTTCATAATTATTCTTCAATTATGTATATGTAATTAAAAACACATGCAAATTTAAAAAATGACTCAAACATAGATTTTCGTTGATCTTACTCTGTTTGTTCAGCTGTTGTAGTACGTCCGAAATAATCAAATCCAATACCAAACCAGCGATAGATATCATTATGGATACTAAAGAACTTATCACATATTTCTTGAGGTGTTGTTTTTTCTTCTAATGCTTTGGCCTCAGTAGCAGTACCGTATTCATCAGTACCACTAATTATATATTATTATTTCAAACGTCATATAGTACATTATACAATAAAAAATACAAATATATTAAAATATTCTTACCTAATATATAATGTATTATAATTTCTTTGCCGACAATACCTAGAAAAAACATAAAGTTCATTTTTAAAAAATCATTTTATAATAAATAGGAGGAAAATTTACTAATATAAATACCTAGCAAATATATCTGCAGAAAGAACACAACCAACGATATTGCCTAAGTGAGGTACATTATTAACATACGGAAGCGCAGATGTAATTAAGATGTTCCTTTCTCCTTTTTTTGGTAAACTAAAAATATAAAAAACTAACGAATTAATTATTCAATTTTTTATTAGTTGACTTACAAATATGAAATTAAATGTGGAAACTTACACAGGATACGATGATTCTTTTACATTTGGACAATTACACGAATTCCAATTAGTCGCTGCTTTATCCAATTCTTCTTGGCTAACTACTTCAATGTCTTTTTCTTTAACTAAATTAAGCTAAAAATAATAAATAAAAATATAAAAAGCACGATACTAATATTTGTTTACGATTGTATTTTCATTTACTTCATTAGTAGTAGACTTGCAGGATTTTGTTGAATTAACTGGAAACCAAGATCCTGCTTGAATACTGTTAATTGCTTTTAAACCTCGTTCCAATGAAAATACTTTCAAAGAGTCCTGAAAATATATTATTAAAGTAATAAAATTCATAAAAGTTTCTTTCTTATTTTTTCTTATATTATTTTTATACCTGAATAATTGGCAGTAATTCTATATTTTTCAACCAATCGCTAAGATATACATATTCTTTAAGTATTTCATTTCCAATCTCAGTAACCATTACAGTAGACCATATAGATACCCAAATAGATGCATCTGCTAATGATATATCATTTTTATCCTACAAAATTCGAATGTTTTTTTTATTGCAACAAACAAAACCAAGATGTGGATTGTATAAATAATTACAATAAAATACCTTAATTAAGTACATTTTGTCTTTTAACGCATTATTTATTTCATTTAATAGAGACCATAAGCAAGACTTAGAATCTGTTTTATAGATTCCTGTAGTTCCATAATATGTTATTGCAGGCTATAAATATAAATACATTTGTATACACATAAAAATACAAATAAATATATATGTAAAACATATTAATTTACCTGTAACTGAGAAGCATCCCATTCTAGCCACTTATTAGTTATTATTTCATATTCTTCGGAAGGAGCTACTAAAAACTGCATTCCTGCGCTTGTACTAAATATTTTAGATCCATTTGGCAACTCAAGAATAGGAAGTCGATTTAAAAAGGTTTCTAAATAAAATTGAACAATCAATTTTAAATTCATAATCGAATAATTATATATGTTACAACTTTAATGTAATATATGTAATAGTTTGAGTCATCCTTTTTATTGTAATTGTAACTATTTCATCATTTTTTACATCGCGTAATATATTCTATAGTAATGTGTTTAATATCGTAAATTTAAATAGAACATATTAGTATAAAAACATAATAAAAATGAAGTTCTTATAAAAATGTTAATAATTTAAATTTTCAAATAAAGTAGGTTAAGTTCATACCATTCGGAAGTGCTATCTTCACATTTATTGTTTTCTTGTCTAATTTAGCAGCGATAATTAATTTTAACGCATTTGAATTGCTCTCGTTCGTTAACACTATCATGGTTATTAATAATTTAATAAATAATCACAATAAATAGAAAATATGTTTATAACGCGCACACTACCCATGCGTATGAACAACAACCTGAAAACGTGACAGCGGTTAATCTAGGGAATTTTATTACATACTGTTTTTCGTAGTAATAAAACTATTTTAAATAATGATTTTACTGATTATGGTAAATGTTAGATTAACACTTTAAATATATAAGTTGTGTATTCAATATTTGGAATAGTTTATTTATGGATTTACTGGTATGTATGTGGCTATTTAAAAAGAATTTTACAGTTTTCATTTGCAAAGAAAATACATTTCTATCATCCTACTAAAAAACAACAGAAAGTGATTTGTATTAATTGTAAAGAATTTTTTCACACGAGATAGCCTTTGGAAAATTAGATATCCCTCACAAATTAGGGTGAATTAGTTAAAAATAAAGTTGGGATATTGTTATGATTTTAGAAGCAACATTATCATGTACTTATCTTTTTTTAACTTGTGGTTCTTCTATGTATGTGTTGTACAAATATTCTTATTATGAATATTCGATACTTCCAACACATTTTATATTTGCATTTATTGGATTAACAACATTAGGAATTCGATCATTATATAGTTTAACATATAAATTATTTTTCAAATCTTACAGTGAGTATATGATATACAAATTAAATTATAAACATACTTTTTTACTTTGTTACAATGAGTGCATTAATATTTTGTAGCTTTAGATGTAATATTGATAGAGTCAGAAGAGATGGAAAGTAAAATGAAAGTTAATATTTTTGATGAATTTCTTAAAAACATTAGTAGAACTTCTTTAATGTGTTCCCTTTTATTTCAACATGGAGATTATCTTCTTGGATTTAATGCAATTGTCAATTTTGGTATATGTAGTGTAATACACATAAAAAATTGGATAATATTACAAGATCGGGTACTTTTCAAACAAAATTGTTTTTATCCTTTTAACTTTTTAATAAAAATGAAAACTCTCTCTCTCCTCTCTCTCTCTCTCTCTCTCTCTCTCTTTTTTTTTTCTTTGAAATAGTTACTGATATTCTAATTTCAATAGAATGACCATTCAGTCATCAGATTATCATACAAAAGAAGTTCATTTAATGAAGTATCTGAAATATTTGTATTCCTTGAATTATTGACCACTGGCTATGTTATGTAAGTTTGGAGATCATTTGCAAAAAAAGATCTAATGTTTATTACATAAAAAATATTCGTTATTTTAGGTTGTTAAACAATAATAATTATGGTTTATTAGCTAATATCTTCTATGCAACAACAACTGTTTTATTTCCAAGCGAAGAATTTTATCAAGAATGGACGATATATCATGCAATTAATAATTATATGACAATGGCTTATGTTGCTTTAATGACAGAAGCGCTTAAACAATTATGACAATAAGATTCAATATACATTTAAAATATATATATATATATGTCATGTATTATATATATATGATTTAATTCAATACAAAATCAATTTAAAATTTAGGATTATACAGGATTGTTTAGATACAAATTATGTTCTTACAGAATATATAAATTTAAAAAAAATGTATTTTTAATGCAATGTATTGTCATAGGTAATCACAATACATATACAATAGTATATACATATACAATAGTATATGTGTATGTACGCGTAACATATACAATTTAAATGCTAATTTTATCACATGTAAGATAAATAGTAGAACATATAAATATATTTATTTTATCGTAGTCAATTTTTGTTGTTTTTGCTTTTATGAGTATATCATTTAATAAAACATAGATGCAAATAGATATTTTCTATTCATTATCTTATGAAAATACACATATTAAATTAAAAAATTAAGATCAATATTAAACAAATTTGATAGCAATTTTGATTGTGTTCCATATACTATAATTTGTTTTTGAACTATATTAATTTCTCACTTGAATAAATATTACATCAAATAAAAACCACATATATTATTTCTCCAATACGCTGATATAGAGCGGAAAAATAAAAACTGCAATTTATATTTAATTACTATTTTTATGCTATTATTCAATTGATTATAATTCTCAATTTTGGAAATTGAATGCATTTTCAATTTGTTTGTTCATCATTGTAACGTTAAACATTAGTGTTGGCTTCACGCCAACTATGTTGATTACGATTTTGTAATCTCAAACTATTTCTAGGGCTTTCATCGGGTTCATAAGCGGGATTTGTATGTCCATGATCTTCAAAGACATCCTTTATGGATATTTGACTACTTCTTGAAGGTCGTCCTTGTATACCAAGAGGATTACCTGCTACTCCATATTTATTAACGGCTCCTAAAGTTTGCATTTGTGATTTTCTTCTCATTGCCATTAAACTTGTTCGTCGACTTTCTAAGGCCTTAAAAGCTTTCACTGAATGTCGCGTAGACATATTTCCAGGCAAGCCTATTAAAAGGAAAATTAAAGTTATTGATTATTATTATTGATTATAAATCACCATCATTAATCGTTAATAAGTTACTTACCTGCACCTTCAGACATACTAAAGAAGCGATGTTTGAATGCAACATCAAGTGTATTTATTGATTGTGCCTTTCGTTTACTCTTTTCAAGATTTCTTATTGTCTTTCGTCTACCAGGTCCATTGCCACTACCTTCATCGTAATCACCTTCCATACCATTTAATTTTTGTAAATCTCTAACCATATCCACTGCTTGTTGAGAAGATAAAGTGTCCTCTGTGACATCCTTTAATAGGAAAATACACAAATTTATTTTTTGGAGTTTATTAACTTAATCACTTATTTGAACTTTAATTAAACAAAGACGTACTTTTTTGCAGCAGAACCAATCCAATGTGGTACTTGCCAAGATATGAGCAAAAGTACCAAATCTATGAAACAGCATAGCAGTGAACTGAATGACTAGAATTAATGCAAAAAAGAACACGAACACCAGACCAATAGGTTCAAGTTGCAAGTATTCTTTGGTAACGTGTACCTGAAATATTAAAATATTATTAATATTATTAATATTTAGTATAAAATATATATATATATATAATAAGTAATACGAATATTCATGCTCGCATGTGCATTGCATGCGTTTGTGCGTAAGTATTCGTTTTATATAACAAATTTATTTTAATGGTTAATATCATTTTACCATATATATATAATGTACATTTATTTAATGTGAATTATTGATATTAGTATCAACATTAGGTACAATGTAATACAAAATTTTAAGTTCACTTTATAAAAATATATAAAACATTATTAAAAAATAATGTAAACATTTTAAATATACGCATGTATGGTTTTCAATTTTTATCAAAAATTAGATGTACCTATTGTTGATTATAAAAATTTATTTACATCGCAAGTTTTATACATAAACTGAAACAATATCTATAATATTGTTAATAATGTGGTTACTAAACACTTTACTAGTAAGTTCTGTTACCAGATAAAAGTTAGATTTGGGATTAAGTTCCATCGTTTCTTCACAAAATAAATTTCACGAGTGTAGATATAATTATTAAAAATTTTACAAACAATATAAAAAAAGATAATTAATTTATCACTGTGATAAAAGCGATGTGACTATATGTCATATTATATTTCTTCTAAAATATTTATATACATAAATACACGTATACTTATATATGTAAATAGACATAAAAAGCATATACATATATATCACATAATGCATTAGTGGTGCTCGAATTTGACTACACCTCTTGCAGTGAAGGATCAGTTAGACCTATCCCAAAACATAAAGAGGAATGCATGGAAAAACATTGATTTGTTTTTAATAGGCTTAGGATAAAAATGGAGAGAACTAAGGATATTTAAATATCAAAAATTAAATCTGAGTATAAGTATGAAGTATATGCATATAAATGATAATCTATCGCTATCAAGAAAATAGTAGTCACATTATTAATCTCGTTTTTAAATTCTCATTTATAATTTATTTTCGCGTATCTAAGAAACGTGAAATTAGTCAAAGAATAAACTATTTCTACGCATTTACGTTTGAAATGCATGTAAGTATATACTTGTTATAACCTTATGACAACAAAAATATGAAAAGAAGCAAGACAAATAAGAGCAGTCATATCCTGAATTCCTGTAAAAATGATAAATCCTTTTAGATAGTTATTTAAAATAATTAGATTTGATGAATATATACGATTTATAGAAGGAAATTAATTTTCCTTGAACAGCTGGAAAAAGAAAAACAAATTGAGGATGGAGTATGCGGATAAAGTATCATACATGTAGGATGAAAATGTTATCGCTTAGTCACTAAGAGTTTCAGTCAGTGGACTAGAAGTTTTTCTGCACACCCACAATCCGATCCAACCAGGGAAACCTATGCAAGGCATTTATTAATATTAAAACCTCTTACACGTGCCATTATACGAATAATGTTATTGACAAACACATATTCGTAAAGTGGACAAATGCAGTCACCACGTAATTATGGTTTAGTTCTGTGTGCTTTCATTCTCATTTAATTAGAAAATGGAAATTTTTTTCAAATATTTGTTTGATTAAAGAAAGAGATGATAACTGAAAGCACACTGAAATTCCATCAACGAGGTACTGCTCATCCTTTTTTTGCCATTTTCGGGAATACTCGATACCTCCGACGTTTCTTCAACGTAGGTGATGTTTGTCTTGACGCCAAGAGGCCACACGATATGTAATTGATCTTTATTCAGCTGTAGCAAGAATACGATCAGTACGAATAAGGCATTGAACATTAAAAATGCGAAGACACTCTTGTTACGCAGCTCAATCAGGTCACCAGCTATACGGGCCTAAGTGAGACGATACAAAAAGAAAAAAACATATTAGAAATGTAGAATAAAAGCTCCGTCGAGTGGCCCAGCAATCCATGTTGTTTTGTTTGTTTCACAATGGAAATCATCAAAGCATAGGATTTACGGCACTGCGACGGAGCTTGGCTTTACCTCTTGCAAGGATTCATCATAGGTGATGTTCATCTTGATACCAAATGGCCATTTCACGTGTAACAAGTCTTTGTTTAGTTGGAGCAAAAAGACGATCAGGACGAAGAGGGCATTCAGCATAAAGAAAGCAAACACACTCTGGTCGCGTAGGTCCTTTAGATCTTTAGCGATTCGTGCCTGACGCAAGTAGTTTTAAATTCATTAATATTTTGCTGTTTTTTCTAATACAAAAATGTAAATGCACTAATCTTCCAACAGGCAAATGTAAAAGTTTGATATTAAGATATTTTTTTATATATTAATATTTGTTCATTCAATATTTCTTAAATATTTTTTATCAGTATCTCAAATAGATGATAAATACTGGCCATTTATTCAAAATACTAACCCAATAAAAAGCAGCTTTTTTTATATACTATCCAAAATATTAAAAAACATCTTTTCGAATATTTTCAATTCCGAATTAGGGATCGTGAAACAAAAATGTTGTCTCGTATATTACCTTCTCCGCTTTGTCTTCGTCTATTGGAAAGAGATACTTTTCAAGCAAATCTTTCCAAAACTGTTCTTCTTGAAGAGACAAGATCTCCACTTCACCTTTTTTCAATCCTTCGTCGCTCAACCAATAAGGTCTTGTGAGGAAGTTACTACCATCACGATTTTCTTCCGAATGTTGGCTTGTTACCGTTTCTGTTTCACTGTTACATTCTTCATCCTCGGCTGGATCTTCACCTATGGCACCCAATACATCATTTGTATGACCACCTATAGAAGATGTTCGTCTTCTTCCAGAAACATGTCCGTGCGGATCAATGGTCCTGTTAATAATTTAGTAAATAAATTACACATTATAGTATATTAATACTTTTTGAGAGGAATTATTTTCCTATACACATACCTTTCGATATTTTCCAATCTTTTGCCAAGTTGTTCCAATGACTCGGCAATAGCAACAAGTTGTTGTTTTTCATCCGAAGGTTTTCCATGTGTACAGAACATACATTTAAATAGGCTAGCCAAAGAAATTTCGATTGAACCTTGATCGTCGTTATTTGTCCCAGCACCATTTTGGAGAAAACCTAATAATGATTTTTGTTTAGCCTTGCGTTTGGCTTCCTCTGCTTCTTTTTTTTCTTGTTCCAATTCCTAAAGGAAGTATATGATATAATATGTACAAATAGTTATATAAGAAGTTGTATGATTTTTTCTTAATAGATAAAAATAAATTGTTAGAAAATTTTAAAGCATTTTTGTATATAATAATTTAATTCTACATGATAGTGTAAGAAGTAAGCGTTATTATTTTATTCTAAATGATTAATTTGTTAGTTTTATCGGATAATTACCGCCCTCGTTTTCTTCGCTTTGACTTCTCTTGTGCCCCAAGTAATGTCGTTCAGGTTGAATACTGAATATATGATTAGTAAAACGTACATCGAAGGTACGCTTATGTAATATATAATTCCAAAAATTAAACATTTTACTTCTCTTGGGTGAAGAATTGCTGCTATCACCATTTGTGCCACCACCAATAGTAGAAACATCGCGGAGGGAGAGAGCAAACTGTCTTCTACGATACTTATCGCAATACCAATTATAACGGCAACCATTACCAAACCATAGAAGGTGCTAAGAATTCCAGCCATGAAAACCTGTTGTATCCCTTTCGTAAGTTAGGTATTTATTTAGAATTAATCTTTTACGTTTTAACGAACATAGTGATTTTTTTGTGAGACAGCTTGGTATACATTGACATAATTCAATATTAACACATTCAGCCATTAATTGCTACCTTCACCGACATTTATGTAAACCCACGCCTCCAACATAGTGATACATATACACATACATATATATGATCGTGATCCTATAGGAGAGATTACATATGAATTCTTTAACGAATAGTTTCTAATGTGATTATGATAAAAAGCTTATTATACACGTTTGTTCGCATTACAAATGATTAATGATTATTGATGACGTGTAATGACCGCTTTTCTGAATTAATTCCGTGTTATGATATATATTATGGCATGCACTTAAATAATGAAAAGAATCTTTGAATTGGACAAACCTTTTTTGTCTTTTTCACTTGAACTTCTCGAGTACCCCATGAAACAACGTTTAGATTTATAATTGAATACAATATAAGAAGAAGATACATGGATGGGATTGATAAAAGATATATGATGCCAGGAACGATACACAGAAATTCTTGAGGATGCAGACAAGCTGCTATGAAAAATGATCCTGATAATGATATTAAAAATATCGCTGATGGTGATCCTATGCCGTCCTCTCCGAGCTGGAGAGCTGTACCTACGATTACGGCCATCATGATCATAGCATAAGCTGTAGATAATATTTGTGCACAGAGAAGCTGAAAAGTATAACACACTTATACGTGGACAAAACAATTATGAGAACGTTCTAATTGAAATTTTATATAATATGTTATTTTTGTATCCAAACTTATACTCTGACAAAATAACAATAACAATAACAATAACATACATACATCAAACGTAGCTAATTATGAAAAAACAATAAATTCAGATTATAAAAATATTAACGATAAGCTTACCTGTATGTTTGACTTGCACGTAAAACAAATGATCATAAACAATAGAATAGGTATAATATTATAATAAAAACTTGTCCAATTGTCAATTTTAAAAGCCGCTACGAAGGCACCCACTAACATAAGGAAGATGGTACCTGGTCCAAGTATAGTACCACCTGTAATACATTTTAATAAGAAATAAGATTATTTTGGAAAATTATTAAAAATCGGATTTTCTTTTTAAATTGTATGGAACATACCCATTAGAAGAATCTGATAAGATATGTATGGGAGAGAAATATTGTCATTGATTTTAATAGTCCGTTTGGCATCCATCAATAAATCCATAATATTAGCTATAGTTGAAGGTACCCATCGACGACGTTGATTATAAAATTCATTAAATCCTTCTGGCGCATGAGTGTAAGCATCACTTGCCGCTGAATATTCGACCTAATCAAATATTATCTCATTATTAATTTGTATTATATAAAAATTCTTGAATAAAACAATATCTTTAAAATGGTTAACATACTCTATAGCCACGTTGTAAAAGTAATGTACAAAGCCAACGATCTTCTCCCTGATCGTATTGCACGTAATGTCTAGCTTCATCTGATCTTGTTGTATACTTTTTCATAACATTATCATCCATCAATGCTTTTCCTCTAAACAAAGAGAAACAACCAGGACTACAAAGTACACAGCCGATCATGTGTTCTGTTGCCTTTTGCAACCAATGGCCAATCGCATATTCGAACATTTGATACCAAACCATAGGACCTAAACATCAATATTATTTATAGTTTCTAATATTTTATAAATAGAGATGTCAAAAACACTAAAATCAAACAATATACCTGAACCAACTGGATGAATACGACCACATGCCGCACCAAGATTCTTATTCTTTTTCATCAAATCAACAAGAAGTTTGACAGCAGTCGGTTGAAAATCAATATCACCATCTAATGTTAATAAATACGTATTTTCGGCGATTACTTCTTTACGATCTACACTAATTGGTAATTCCATTAATCGATGTCCCAACAAGTAATACATGTACATGACCTAATTAAATATTATAATCATTTATCGATTTTTCTATTTTTAAATATAATAGGAAAATACAAAAACGATTTTACCTGACTCCATCTTTTTCTGTGACGAATTTTACTTTTATCTTTCAAATGAGCAATCATTTTAGTTTTACCAGGAAGTGTCCATACCAATCTTCCACCATAAGGTGTCGGGAATTTTTTTGGATCTTTGACATGCGTTCTTGTCCGATGAACATCAGTAGCTGCTTCATCTAACGTTGAAACTAATAATTTCACAAATCGGTTAACTTGTGATTCGTTTTCGTCGTGATCGGATAATTCGAAAGCGTCGTCGAAGAAAATATGAGCTATACAAAAAATAATTAAGTTAATTGCGAAACTTATATGTATATATCTAACATACATTTTCATTATTGAATTATTTAACTTACTTTCGAACTCATAATAATCTGGATCAACGACTTTAAGATATTTTTGTGCCACGCGTCTAGCTGATTGATCTTCGTCTAATCGCAATATACTTTTCAAAAATTCCATCATTTCTTCTTTGTTTTCATGCCACATAGTTGCACACGCGTATATTCTGGTCACGTGGTCGCTACTTTTTACAGTGGAAGGTGGAGTGGTTGAACCATCTGTTTGCTCATATATAGTCTCATAATCTCCATCACCTTTTTCTTTTTCTATCTCTGCCAAGTCCTAAATGATAACAGAACGTTGCTATAGATCCAACAATTTCATTTATGTTTTTTTTATTTTTTATAAAAACCAGTACAATACTGACCTCCACTTTAACTTCTGGTTGATCGTCTCTCTTTCTATTCAAACCCATCGATTGATCGATCAATAATGAATCATACATCGGTACAACGAATAATTTTTCAGTAGCTGCTAAACGTTCACATTTTGGTGTCCAAATATGTAAAGTTATCCAAGTTTGTGAGAGCAACCAGAGTAACCAAACCCAGCCATATTGTTGTGTTATAAAATCGTTTAAGAAATATAAACGGGGTGATTCGTAAAATAAATAATCCGGAATAATTCCGTGAAAAAAGCAAGGATTACTATTACGTAGACCACAAGCAGCAATTAGCAAAGAAATAGTTACGGGTATTGTTAAATTTACAGGGAATGCATAACTGAATCCTTGGATCAGAATTTTGCACGCGAATTTACCTAAAAACATAGTATTCATTAAAAATAATTATCTCTAAAAACATAATAATAAAATTATGATTTTCATTTGTATTTACCAAAAATATATACGAAATATGCGCTAAATATTTGTAACAATAAGACATAAATTGGTGTATTGAAATCGGCCATAATGTCAATGTCGCTATTTGGTAAAATGTCTTTTAGATCTGCCAATGTACCATTGATAGTTTGTGTTACCGTTGCGTGTACAATTATTTTATGTTCTCCAAAAGCAGTACCAAACATTGTAAATAAGTGACCAATATTTTCCCCTCTTAAATGTAATATAGTTAAAACACTAATGAAAAATGCTATAATCTTCCAGAATGAAACGAACATGTACGTAAAATATCTAGTCAGTCTCAATTCTCTCTTTACTCGAGCCAGCATTTGGACGAAGCCTGTATCAAATAAATATAAAAATAGTAAAAATAACGAGAAAAATTTGTTAAAAGTTATAAATTAATAGTCTAGTTAATATATAAATTAAGAGTTTTACCAATACTGCTTTGCATGGAAACGTAATTCTCCCACCAACCACATGATACAAGTATTAAAGCTGGCGAAACAATCCATAAAGAAGATTTTGATGTATCTAGCAGAGGCCAAAGGACGAAACTCGTTGCTTGAGCAGTTAATGCAGCGAGGTCAACTAGTACGAGAATAAACGTCTTTGATTCGTCTTTATTTTTGTTCCGTGATAAGAGTCCTGGAATATGTACATTCAGGAATATAAAATCATTCGTAAAATTAATTTAATAAGAAAAATATATCGTTTCTGATAATTAAAAGGAAAAATATATTGAATCTTATGTACCTAATAATCCAGGTATAAAACAGACGCAATTAGTTAACATAATTCCTTTTACAACATCGATGTCTGGAAGAATTAATAAAAACATTAAGGCCAGTCCTACGACATGAAATGTTTCCATAAGGAAGACAAGGAAGAAATGAGAGTATGGTGGTTTTTTCCATGATTTAAAAATGCATATACGTAAACTACGTATCAAAGCACCAAATTCTGGTACTGCAAATGCGATTATAATACACCATGTCCATGCGATTCTTTCTTCTTCTGGTAACGTAGCTACATATTCTTTTTCTCGACCTACGAATAATGTAATATTCATCTTACAATTGTTACTAGGACATATAAATTATTATATGTATAAAAGTATTACCTAAATCCTTGTTACAGTAAAGGATTCTACGATCCGATCTCAATTGGGATGTCATAAAAAAGATCGTTCCTTTGGATATTACACCACTGACTAATACAATTATGAAAACGAGTAAATAAATGAAAACTTTTGTTAATTGGACGGTCCTTTCAAGACATTTTTGATTTGCCATTGAACCCGAATCGATTTTCGGTGGCGGGTTTCTAAACACGTCCCATTCTTTCGTTTCCTCGACGGGTCTTCTGCTGTGAGAAAAAAAAAACAAATAAAATGTGGTAATTTTAATCAATAAAAAATACAAAGAAAAAATTAATATATTTTTCTAATTCGGTCGAATAAATGATAAAGTTTTATTACCTTTCGGCATAATCTTGAATAACAGGGGTGCTTTCTCCATCGGAAAAATCGTCTGGTCCGGTGACCCCACCACCGTGTATGCTGCCATTGTGTTTCGGAGCTTTTGACATTCTGTATAAAAATAAAAAAATTCAAACATTTGAATAAAGAAATTCGTGGTCATTTTATTGATCAATTTATTGAAGTCAAAAAATACGTTTTTGTTATATCAATGTTGAATTATACTCTAATATCAAAAATGCGGACATAAAAAAGGAAGAGTACATAAGAAAAATGAAAGATATATTTATTAATAAAAATAGACATATCGTCATATTCAATAAACCTTAACGAAATAAACAGAGAGAAGAAGTAATGACCGATGCGGAACCTTTTTCGCTCTAGATATTTCAGTGACGTGCCACGTAACGGATTTGTTGTCTATCAGCTTTCTCTCCTTACCCATAATAAGTAAACGATGTTGTAAGTTAATCCATTGCAACTATTGTATATAGTATATGTATTTATATATAAATACTTGTTTTTCTTTTTCATTTAATATAAGTATATATCGAATTAAAATATCGCTCTCTACTTTTATATAAAAAAAAAATAAATAATTACATATATTAAATGTTTTTATAAATTAATTTTTCATCGTACTCCTTTTTTTTTTTGAATAAAAAGATCTTCCCGCAAAAACTTTCCACATGTTTTATATTTGTTTACTAATAATTAATGTACGATGGTAAAATATAATGAGAAAAGAAAGATTATATCTGAAAGAATAGAATTTCTTTTCTCTTCTATCCTTTATATATTGTATCCTTGTACAAGGAGATCCGAGAAGGTTTCTGGTTCCTGACTATTAAAAGTGAAAGGAAACGAAACACGCGGCAGATAATGTAGCAAGGCCATCCACAAGACAACTGGCAGTGTAGGTTACCGCCCTCGAGATACGTTGCAGTATTGGCTTCTTGTACGACCCTCGACATACTTATATATATATATACATGCATATAAGCACACTTACACAAATCTCCCTTTCTTGTTAGAGTCGTTGTTCAACATTCTTTTCCTTTTCCCAATTTTTAAATGTACCACTATCTTCTAAGAATAGTATGCACTATACTTACTCTCCTCTGCAACGCTGTTTCGCTTTTAGCTAAAACTTACTTGGGATGTTTGTGCATCTCATATTTTTCTCATTCAATTTTAACGTATACATTATTTGCATATAGTTTCACTTCTATTTTCCTAACATCTGTTACGATCAAACATGTTTTTTTTTTTCTAAGTTCACGTTCTATTTAACATAGATTCTACTTTTCCTTTAATAATTGCTAATATTATTTGTAAGAAAATATGAATTTTTCTTTTCTTTGTTGCATTATTCATTTATTCAATTAAATAATTATAATATTCTACATTTTTTTATTATAAATAATTGCAAGCTTTTATCGATGCAAAAGTGAGTTAGGAATGTTGCGAAGATACGATAAAAGCTTCGATATAAATCGATTGCAAATTGAAAAATGTCTTATCGAATTTTATAGAAGAATCAATGCATTTTTTTCTATTCCATTATTTTCCGGATATTACGTTTTCTTGATTGTGCAAATAGATTGATTGATAAAAGATAATAGAAATGAATGGAATTTATTGTATTTTCACACATGATTGAATATAATTTATTTATTTTGAATAATTCATAGTAAGTACGAGGACGGTTTCGGTAAAAGAAGAAGTCGTACGTCGACCTCGCTATTGACACAAGCAAGTTCCGTTATTTTTTCGGTAATAGCCTAGTTTGATCGTACTATCTTATAATGGACAATTATTATTTCTTCTGAATCTTCGAGAAAGATTACACAAAGATAAACAAAGAATTACATTTCTTCTTTAAAAATATATTTCATGTAAAAAAGAAATGTATTTGTAAATGAATTTTATTACGCGATACGTTAAAGTAATTATAAATTCAGGAATTTGCGTATATAATTAATCGGAATTATGTTTCATCGGGTTGCATCATTACATTAAAATAAACTTTCCTTGTTTCTACTAAACTAAACTTTCCCAAAAAGAAAGAAAAAGAAAAGGTATTAAAAGGGGACAACCGGATTTACAGATCATCGTGTTATTGAATTGATGAGTAATATCAGAATTTTCAATATACAAAATATATTAATAATAAAATACTATATGTAGTATTAATAAATATTATTCATTATAGATATAAAATACCAATTATTATAAAATATACTACTATTATTTATTTAAATATAAAAACGATTAAAGGTTTATTATGACATTATATGTATTAATCAATTAAATGCATCTAAATACTCAATGAACCATTTTCAAAATGGCATACCTTTTTTTGGATAATAAAAAATAATAATGTACTTACGTCTGACTACCGACAACGAATCGCATCACGATCGAAACTGAACGTGATCAAATCATCAAATTTATTTACTTTTCGAAAGACAAAAACTATTAAAAAACTGTAGTCAATGTGTCACACAACTTACTAGTTAAACTTAATTCTAATCATTACGAAGATCAATCCGAAGAGTATACGTCTATTATTAAAGATTATATTACACCGTATCTGATACAATATTTTGATATCTCTGACATTTATCTCTTCCCTTTCCCCTCTGCTTTAGTTCACCTTTTTCTCTTCTTTTTTATGAAACATTCGATCGTCATAAAAAGCGAAACGCGATTCCAATATACATACCAACGTAGTTAATATATATATATATATGTATATATGTTACAATTAATGTGGAAAAACGTGGATTTTATAGAATAACATATATAAATAACAAAAAAAACCTTTAACATAACAAGAAAATAACAATCTTGATGATGAATTTCTGATTCATCTGAAGCCAATGCCGGATGTATATCGTACTTTAGATAAGAAATCCGTTTTTATTTTAATAAAGGTGAAATAAAATAAAAGAGAAAGGAAGGGAGGAGGGGGGGGGAAGGTAAGAAACATAGCAAGTTATTGATGCAACAATGTCACAAAGACAATCTCATTTAATAAAAATCTCTTCAACGATGACTACAGTCATCATTCGGATAAAATTGCTAAATAGAAATATATATATATAGAAAGAAAGAAAAAGATTTAATTAAAAAAAAAAAAAAAAAAAATATTTCTCGTCATCGTTCTAACTCGCGAAAAATCCAAATAATCAAGATATACTTTATAACAGTGATACCAAAGATACAATATCGTAACTATTATAACATGAATAATATTTAAAATTAGAAACAAAAAAACTCTTACCTGTTATTAATGAATGGGGATCTTCACAATTCTTCTCGATAGTACAGTAAGACTATACGTGATCGGAAGTTAATACATTCGAAGAAATTATTCAAACATTATATAGCTCGTAATTATTTTCATTCACTTTTATAATTTTTTTTTATAATTCAAATCGTCTCACGCGTATATTTCATTTCAAAGCGAAATACACTCGGTGAAACAAAATCGCATTTTTTGTTGTTATTTTTTTTTTGCGTTCCCTCACAGTATCCGTTTTTTTTTTTAAAAAACATTTAACACAACAACGATCACTACGTAATGGTTCTTATTTGGCGAACGATGGAAGAATGGGAAAAAGAAAAGAAAGAAAAAAGAAAGATATAAAAGGTATAAAAAGGAAGGTATAAAAATTAGTTAGATAGAGACAATAAATGAAAGAGAGAAATAGAAAGAGGAAAAAAGACAGAGATACTTGGTAGCTCTCAAAGTGAAAGTCCGAAGTCAGAGGTAATCGGTAGACGAACGACTGGCGATGTGGTTTTACGGATCTACCAAGAAGGTGTATAGGACGACGATTCACGAATGCCCCCGCATTCGAGTTCCTCCAAGCTTACTATGTTAACTTTCACGAGGAGAGTGGCGGATACATACAGATAGTGAGAGGGAGAGAAAAGATCAACTTGAATAGAAAAAGGTTGAGGAATATAAAAAGAAAAAGATCGCATTAAAAGATATTCGTAATATTCGACACGACCCAAAAAGAGATTCTAAACTCTCTATCGTGTTATATCTAAGACGATATTTACAAAATATATACAGATTTATTAATGAAAGGGTTCTAGTTTCAATTGAATGCGCAAACTTCTAGTAATGGAACAAAGATATCGATTTCTTATCAAGAGATTCGAGATAACAAACATTATTTTTATTACGTTTAAATCGATTCAATTAAATTCCTTTCTAACTGATAATATTTTTTAATAGAATAATATATACACGTGTTTACGTTTTCTATTAAAATTATAATTATATATTATATTTATTATATGCGTTGAATGAAGATGTATGGTTCGGCATTTAGTTTCTTTTTTTCTTTTTTTATAAATCAATACAATTTTAAATTGTTTCTTACCACTGAGTCCTCTGTAGAATCCTACATTTTATGATGTCTACAGTAGTTCTTGTAGAATATTTGAATTATTGGAATATGTTTTAATCTTTTTCAACTATACTATACTATATTGTATTCCTGTTAGTATATATTCTTTTAAAGAACGACATTTGAATTTTACGCCATGATAAATTATGAAATACTTCTAATGTATAAATTATATAGATGTAACGTCAACTTTAAAAAATTACTCGATGGTAGTGCTCTCTAGCGTATAACGTAACAGTACCTTTAATCGCGCGCAAATTAAAACGTGCAATTTATTTTTTTTTCATAATTATTATTAATTTTTTCTAATAATTCCTTACTCGTAATATGAAAATTCATAAGTATGCGAATATTATAATTACTTAAATAAGAAGTTGTACATATTAACTACAAATATTTTTTATTTGACTCAACATTTGCGTAATGCTAGTGATTTTTTATTAAATTTCTAGGAAATCACTAAGTGTATCTCTTGTTGCGCATCCTCCCTTTAGATGTTTAATTAAAGTGTGTACAGTAATGTATATAACAATACATAATACACACGATGACCTGTTTCGTGGTTGGTACTCCTAGAAAGCCGACGAACCTATAATTTTATTGTAATCGAATTAGCAAAATCGAATGACAAGAGTAAGAACATTGATAGTGAATTTAAGGATAGGTTTAGAGAAGAAACCAAGTTCTTATTATTTGACATAGTAAAATATATTTTGAGATAAAGATAAATCCAAAGATTAAACCCTAATGCGAGTAAGAGTAAAAGAAGATTTGCGATTTTGCTTAATAGGTGTGGTGCGAAAGGATATTTACAAATTACTTTAGCCAACTATGCTTCTTTACCTTATAATGTCTCCAGTGTGATTAGTGAAAAAGAAAGAAATAAAGAGAAAAAGAGAGAAAGAGATGACAAATGAGATTAATAGAGAAAAACAAATATGAGAAGGTTACAATTACTGTCATGATTTCAAAGATTGTTCGATATTTTTAGTAGGTTATCTAATGTATGTCATCTTCAATACGTGATAAACTTATTTCCAAGATAAAGATAGATGACATATGTAAGTACATGAGAGTTGGAGTTAATAAATCATTTAATTGGAGTGAAAATGCGGCGGTAGTGATGCGTTTAAAGGGGAAAAATAACGCTAAGTCGTTTCATAGCGTCTATAAGGTGCTTTCTCGTATATGCCGTAAGTACATCTATGGTAATTATACTATTTAATATATTTTTAAACATCTCTCAGATGCATACATAATGTCTATATATATATACATATAATATTATCTAGGAACAGTGGACAAAGTTCAACTTGATGGTTTCATGGCTGATGGTGCAGTACCGCCATTAAAGAATGGACACAACTCTAATAATATGGGATTTGCTACACAACCTGTAAGCCCAACTTCAGATGCCACTAGTACTGTATACGCAGTTGGACAATATGCCCCTAAAGTTTTGAGAAATTTAAATGGCCAACGATTAAAGAATCAGTTCACTGATGTCGGCCTTGTTGCCGATGGTAGCATCATTCATGCACATAGATCAGTTCTCGCAGCAGGAAGCGCTTATTTCAATGCTATGTTTACTGGTGGCCTTGTCGAAGAACAACAAGAATTGGTGGAAATTCATTCTATATCAGCTTCTATCCTTTCGCTTTTAATAGACTTTATCTATACCGGAAATGTTGATATTACTGAAGATAATGTTCAAGAATTGTTTGCGGCAGCTGATATGCTTGAATTGGACGAAGTAGTTTCTGGTTGCATTACTTACTTAGAACAACAACTTCATTATTCTAATGCCCTTGGAATTTATAGGTACAATTTGTCTGTGGCAACTTTATATTTTCAATCAGCAAAAATTTTAATTTTAATGTAATATTTCTCATAAAGGTTTGCAGAAGCACACAATAGGTTGGATCTATTAGAGACTGCCTTACGCTTTATACAAGTCAATTTTCCTCAAGTTTCTCAAGAAGAGGAGTTTTTAGACCTGCCCAAAGAGCATCTTGTTCGCTTTCTCAGCAGTGATTTAATTCATATCGACACTGAATTTCAGGTAATATTGATTTCATATTCACGAGATAATTACTTGAATTGATTACAGTAACAAAAAATATATATATATATTTTTGTACAGGTCTTCCAAGCTGCATACAATTGGATTATTCATGATATACCTGCACGACGCTGCTATGTCTTTGAAATATTAGGTCATATACGGTTGAGACTTTGTTCATTAGCACGTTTAGAACGGATAATATTGGAATGTAAAGATGCCAGTCTTATTGTTGCTTTGCGTTCCATAGAAAAAGATTTAATATGTAACAAAGGATGTCTTGTACCACTTCATGCGCAGCCTAGACTTTGCGCTAAAAAAAATATTTTGGTCATTGGTGGATCTAAAAGGGAACAAGCAGCAGATAGTTGGGGCAGAGCTGCTGAAAGCACTTATGAGAGTATTGAAAAATATGACACTTTTACTGGGTACATTAATTCATTGATTTTCCAATTTTTCATTTTCTTTTAATGTTGCCATAACAATGTTATTCTGGCAATTACAGCGAATGGAGCGAAGTAGCACCAATAAGCATAGGACGTATATTACCAGGTGTAGCACTTCTAGATGGTAAAGTATATGTAGTTGGAGGAGAACTGGAATCGTGTATCATTGCTAACTGTGAATGTTACGACCCCCGGGATAATGTATGGACATCGATTGCTTGCATGGAAGAACCCAGATGTGAATTCGGACTTTGTGCCTTGGATAATAGCTTATATGCATTTGGTGGTTGGGTAGGGGAAGATATTGGTGGTTCCATAGAAATTTATGATCCTATTACTAATACCTGGACGCTTGAAGGTGAACTTCCGGAACCACGTTTCAGTATGGGAGTTGTTGCGTTTGAAGGTTTATTTTCTAAAACATATGTATACATATATATATATACACACTATTGATAATACATTATTATAATTACAAATTATTTTTATTCAGGATTAATCTATGTAGTAGGTGGTTGTACACACAACAGTAGGCATCGACAAGATGTGATGAGTTATAATCCAGTAACCAGAGAATGGAATAACTTAGCTCCTATGTTAACACCACGATCCCAAATGGGAATTACTGTTCTCGATGGTTATATTTATGTGGTTGGTGGTACCAATAAAAATCAAGAAGTTCTAAATTCCGTTGAACGGTATTCCTTTGAAAAGGTAAATAATATGTTTCATTGTGTTGTAATTATGTAAGAATTTTTGTATATTTTACATATTATATCGCATTACAGAATAAATGGAGCATGGTGGCATCAATGAACATTGGTCGTTCATATCCTGCAGTTGCTGCAGCTGATAGTAGATTATATGTTATTGGGGGGGATCAATCACAAGAAATCAATTTTTACCGTACACAGATAACTATTTCTACTGTAGAATGTTATGACCCACATTTAAATAAGTGGCATGAATGTGCTTCACTACCAACCAGCAGAGGTGAAGCAGCAGCTATTGTTGCTCCCTTTTGAGTGAAATTTTCAAACAAAATTGTACACTTCATACATATTTCGTATACATACACGTGTTCCTGTCTAAACTGCAAATCATTGCAAGTTGTTAATGCGAGCAAGAGCATACACCATGACTAATTGGATGTGTTTTAAAAAAATAAAAAAAAGATCATGTATTTCAAATTAATAATATATTGATATATATATATATATATATACATATATATCAATATATTATATATAGATATATATATATATATATATAATATAACATTTTCCTATATATAGACTACGCCTACGTAAAATTTAAGTAATTATAATACATAATAACTTCCTTTTGTAATATAAACAAAGTGCTAAGTGATTTGAAAAGAAAAAAGATTAATGATTATTCTACTAATGTGACTTATAAAGAAAATATGAAGAGGTTGCATTAATTTTATCAATGCTCCTTTATTGATACAACTGATGAGATGTTACTCGTCATTAAAAAAAAAAAAAAAAACAAAAATATTTCCAAATGTTTTAAATAGATTTATTATAAAATGATTTTATTAGTTGTAGAATGGACTGACAACATTTATATTACATATACTCATTTACCAAAGTTATAATATTATTCTACTATAAATTTGTCACGCCAAAATAAAATAAAAAATAGAAAAAAATATATATATACATAATCAAAATTATATCACACGAAGGAAGGTGTTATAAAGAGCTAATACTCGTCAACTGCGAGTTATATTTAAGAACCTATTTCAAGATAAATATATGTATTTTGCTTTTATTCAATGACCCGCGCATGTGATCTTACTTTTTGTGAGTCTATCACTGTTTAGCATAATATTGCTTATACAGCTAAATTTATTTGAATTGAAAGGTAAATGTTAATAAAAAGTATACATTTCTTATATACGATTTCTTTTGTTTCGTTGAGTAATCGATGATTAAGTCGATCTATCCATGAACTTTTTATTTTAGCCCATTTAGAAGATTATATATCTAATCTATCCACTTTTTGAATACATCATTTAAATAATTTCAAAGTTATTTATAATATAGATATTCTAAAATATTTCGTTTAGACGTAAAATAAGTAATCGACGGGTTTTATTTTGCTTTTTCTTTTTTTTTTTTCATCTTTTTTTTATTTAAAATTTTCGACACATCATTATATATATACATTACTCTTGCCTACATTCATTTAAAAACTGCTGTTACATTACATATTATAGACATACCTATAATCTCTTAAAATAGTTTAATTGCGACTACTCTAAATCTTACAAAGTGAGAATTCAACGATCGAAGATAAAACCTGTTTTAAGATAATAATTTTATCTTTTTAATTTTTTTTTCTTGCTCCGTTTACAATAGTACAAAGAAAAAATTAAGATGATCATCAAAATTGAAAAAAAATTTCTTTTTATTTTCCTAATAAAATTCAAGTTATAATAAATAAAATTTAATTATATATATATATATTTTTTATATATATTTCTTTTTAAACTCGCTTAAAGTCTAAGGAAATTTTTATTTTTATCACGAATCTAAAATTGTTTTTTTCTTTGCAGTATAGGAAATATTATTGCATTCTCTACTGATAGCATTTTACATGTTTTAATGAATTTCTCAACTTGTCTTGTACATTAAATATCAATATATATATATATATATACTTTGTACGTATATATACATATATATTATACGTATGTATATGTGTATATATAATATATATACACATAGATGTATGCGCGACTTTCTATATTTCGCATACATTTGACGAATACGCGTTACACATATAACGACGCAAAATATATTAGGCACAATTTTTCTTTAATGTCGATAAATTTTAATGTCATCATTATTTTCTCCACTAATAATAACGGAGCAAAAGAGCGGTACGTTACATACAATGGTTTTTAAAATTTTTAGAAGATTTATTTGCGAGAAAATATAAAAAGAAAGAAAGATCGTTAATTCAATTTAAAAATAAATTAATGACAATCGAGGATAAGATGGTGAAGCAAAATATAAAAAATGAAATATAAAATGAAATATAAAATATAATGTTATACCATTTTGTTCTTAATGTGCGTGTGTTCTATTTATTATACTTAAAAGTATATATATTACTTTAAAAACTAATTTTTATTTTTATTCGGAACTAATATTATTTTTTATAAATATACGTTTTCTTAAAAGTGTTCAGAAACGTAATGTAAAATATAATATTTTATTAACAAATTTTTAAATATTATATTTTAATGAAATGTATAATAATTTATAATTGTTATTATTATTATTTAGACAAATTATTGTTCATTTAAATATTTCTCTCGACAATATACTATTTATAAATACAATAATATGTTATTGTATTTATATTTCATTAATTTCATTATCAATAATATATTACTACCACTTTATGAACTAAACATAAAGAAAAAAAGATAAAGAGGTATATTAAACAAAATTAAAAGTTTATAGGCAAAAAGCTTTTAAAAAGAAACGTATATTCGAAATATATGAGAAGTATACATTTATAAAACTGCAAAAGCAAATATGTATTTGTTTGTATTTTTCTTTCTTTTTAATATTATCTTTATTACTATGACGGGGAGATAGCATAATAACATTACTCGTGTTACATTTGTTCGTTTTGTTTCTTTTTTTCTTTTGTTTTATATAAAAATAGTATCTCCTTTAAAACTTTTGTTATATATGCAACTCTCGAGAATCTAGTTGCGTATACCCTTGTATAGGCTCATTTAAAAAAGAATTCAAAAGAAAGAGATAAAAAAAAAAATAAAAATAAGAATAGTTTCCTTTTTCTTTTTGAAAATTTAAAAATGTAATTTTCTGGACACCTTTTTATAGAGAGATAGAGAGAGAGAAAGATGAATAGAAACAATAATAAAAAATAAAACAATTTGACTTATCGCGAATAATATAAAAACATTTCTAATATAGATACACAGAGATAGTTCCCGTGGAATAATTTTCTATTATTTATAACTATATGCACGCACATTTAAATGGCTAATGGTTCCCGTATTAATAATATAATGCTGCTTTATAGAATATCAACAGCGGAGAATGTTTTATTTTTTTTTCTAAAACGCCCGAGACGAAGGGTGGAAAGAGTAAGGGGTTGAGAGAAGCTTCATCCGAGAGGGATGAAAAAAATCAATTTGGAAATATACAAATGCCTATTTTCGTAATTATAAACAAATATTATTTTGATGCATTGTAAAATAAATCTTTTCCTTTCTTTTTGTTTTTTTTTGCTTGAACTAAAATAGATATAATCAAACGAGACTAATAATGCCGTTGTTAAAATTCAAAAACGAGTGTTTTTCTATGGTGTTTTATACGATTGGAATTACATAAAAGATTTGTTCGGTTCTTAAGAGAAATTAAATACATACATATACATATATGTATATATGTATATATATTCCGAACTATAGAAATATACATATATAAAAATTAAACGCTTTATTGTACATTATTGATAATATCAGTCAGCAAATGATCTCCCATAGAATTTGAATTCTATGAAAATATAGACCGCTTTGCATATTTTCATACATTGCAGACCAAGGTCTGACTAATCATCAATAAAATTGCTGTTTTGATGCTTCCAGTTTCAATTTAATACGTCAATTAATTTTTTTTGCTTTTTTTTATTATATTTTATTTTAGACTTTTTGATTAATTTCTATCTCGATTATGGACAAATTACTAGTTTAAATGAAATTTCATTGAAAATTTTTTAACACGTTAAACGTGTCACGCTGCACCGTTCCCTACGGATCTTATGTTCTTCTATAGCTGACAGATCATCGTGGCCTAAACGGAAAGCTTCATGAAAGAAGCTTGTCGCTTAACATGTTAAAAAAAAAAAAAAAAAAAAAAAAAAAAAAAAAAAAACAAAAGAACGATAAAAATCAATGAAAATAGAAAAAGAAAATTTTCGAGACCCGGTCCGCAATGTTAAAATACATCGTCATATTTAAGATATATGCATTTCATCGAAATTTATTAGCTACATCATCATAACGAATTTAAGTAAATACTAATAAGAATAAACACATGCATACGCACATAAATACACCTACATACATATGAACACATTTCCCTTTGTGCTCATAGCAACAAACATTTTTCACAGTTCACAAATGTATAAGTCACAGCGCCGCATAATCTCGCATGCGGTGCATCTCTCTAATAACTATTTAAGCAATAATTCTTTTCACACTATATCATAATTATCGAAATAAATGGAACTTAATATTAACTACTTTCTTAGGCTCTGAACGCGACATCCCCCTTTTTTATATAATTAAAATCTAAATAAAGACTTATTTTTCTTTCTTTTTTTCTCCCTTTCTTGTTTTCTTTCCTTTTCTTGCAATAGATTTGTACCCGCAATAACAAGACGGTTTTTTTTTGTTTTTTGATACGCCGTGCCGTATCGCAAAGAAGAAGATATATTTGTCTTCTCTCTTTTCTTAAACGGATTCTTTCCATTTCTTTCATATTGTATATAAATGTTAAATAAACCTCGGTAAGGCAGTGACGGTACGTTGGTACGCGTATGGCAGAGGAGGTGGGGCGGAAATATGTCCTTGATGTTGACGAGGAAGCGAAGAACGATTTAGACCTACTGTTCCGGTCGAAGGTGAAATATGTTGTAGAATATGTGACGTTCCATCGCCAAGATCTAATTCTTGATGTTCCATCAATTGTAATGCTCCAAACGATGCAGTAGCCATTGCTACATCTGGCATTACTCCGGATAAATGACCATCGCTGCATGAGCTATTTTCTTGTTGCTAGAAAACAATTTCAATCATTCTTCTAATTATTTAAACAACGTATCTACGTAAGAAAAGAACCAAAAATTATTCTAAATATTTATATATATATGTGTGTGTGTATATATGTATATTACTTACTTTATTATTGTACAAAAAATACAGTTACATTAATACTGTTGCAATCATAAATTTCAAGAGAAAGAAAGATAAAATAAAGAAGAAAAAAAAAAAGAGTTCTAAATGGTATAGAAAACGCTACGGTCTATACCACCAAGGAATGTACACGAATTTTAGATCAAGCTAAGAGAAAGCGTTCACAAATTAATGATATTATTTCTTACCTCTACAAGAAGTCTGTTATTCTCTCCTTCAATAACTACGGCCGGAAGTTCGTGCCTATCAGCGTAAGATGAAGCCGGCCGAGGAAATGTCATATTTCTTCCGTAATACGAAGGTGCGGAAGTTCTCGCATTAATATCCATATCCGGCGAATTAATATCTTCGATTCCAGTCATATTACTATCTTGCTGTTTCATAAAAGACGCAGTGTTCTGCAAAATAGATCAACATTTATATTCATTAATTAGGTGCCTTTGATCAAATCTTTATCTTCATTAATTCGATTTAATACACATATAAACGAATATAAAAACGATAAAGAAGAAATGCCATCTACTAGAAGATCTATTAAAGAATCTATCAAAGAATCTATCAAAGAATCTATCAAAGAATCTAATTTGCAAATGTACCGGTAAGTTTGATATTATATATATTATTACGTCAGCGAAATATGTAAATGCAATACATTTGCAAACTTATATCGAATGCTAAATTATCATTTTCTTAGAGATATATATATAATAATACTGACGCAAAATGTGAATATCGATTGTTATCAATTCTCATTTATAATGCAAACGTTATTTAACAAACTACTTAGTTCGCTTTTCAAAAAAGAATTGACGCGTCATTTGAATAAAATATTTTGTCACTATTCCTACAATAATTATTAGTTTCTAATTATAACATTTGAGTCAAACTTTTATTTTTTTCAAACATTTATATAGACTCCGTAATGCACAATAATATATGTTATTATTCAAGAGGTAACGTTCATACGTTCTCGGTGAATATAAATTAGAATTACGATTAAATAGTGAATTTAATGTAATGATAAGGAAGAACGCAATGACAAAGAGAACGATGACTACCCGGTTAGTACATTAATACGAATAAATTGCAACTGCAAATTAACGTAAAGTAGAATGATAACGTCCTACTGCTGTGACCTAACTCTGGCTTTAATCCAGCGAATGCAACTAGTTGAAAAATAGAGATGTCATTAATAGAGTATAGTATGGGGGAAAACAAAGGTCAAAGTCAGGCGCATCGAGTTGAAAGCTTGTCTCTCAGTTCTTGCAGTTCCATCGCGCCTAACTGATCTGTCATGTGAGTCTGCGTTCAATTACTAAACAAACATTTCATTATATTGATAGATGATAATATTTACACGATTTTTACTCGAGTATTCCGATGTTTCTAAGTTTCATCGCTGGTTAAAATTAAATAGTAAACTATTTTTGAATATCTTTCCCGTATTTGTTAAACGAATCATTTAAATGGAACAAGTAAAATTCGCTAATCTTGTTGTTTAATTTATTTTAATTCTCTGAATAAAAATTTATTCTTTCATATAATCGCGTCATATTGTAGTTAGATTAAATATTCATTTATAACTTATCTGCATACATGGTCCAATTTATACAAGAGAATTTTAAATAGATTCTCTTTGGCCTACAATTCGTTCGGACTTGCGAATGTTACGATAAATTCATAACAGCAAAGTTTAATGTATTATTGTGTTTAAACGTTCCGTAATATCGAAGACAACTTACTGTATTTTTAATTGTATTTAATTAATATATGTATCAAATCTTTCCTTCTCTCTTTTTTGGACAATTTATATTTTTATCGAATAAATTTTGAGCGATTATTATCTCAAAAATGTAACTAAAACAACAAGTGACGATTTCATAATTAATAATTATACTTCATCGCATGTCTATCCTAATAAATAACTTGGAAAATAACAGATCATTTTTGTTCTCACGCACAATTGCACACCGCACATCAGCACGTCAGACTTTTCGAATGTTCTGTTAAAAACACGCTAATACATACTATCAAGCAATATTTGAATTGTAAGTTGTTCGTCTTACAAATAAGTTTATTATTTTAAATGTTTTAACAATAGGAAAATAAAAAAAGCCTAAAGATAAATTTTCTGATATAAAAAGAGATATAAAATAGAATTGAATTTTATTTTATTACGCGATTTGAAACTATTTGGAAACAATAAAAGAAAGAAACGAGAAAAAAATCTATAAGATAATCCAATTTATTTATTTATTTATTTTTTCATATGAAGCGTAGAAATTGTATCAACTTAGTGAAGCTATTTTTTTAAAAAAGGATATATATTATACCGATAAGATACCCACGAAGAACATACTTCTCGGTGTGTGATAGGTCTTATCCAATCATTAAATTGTTTATTGTGGTTAAATCGCTTAGGAATATATCTCATGTGCAAGTACTAAATTTTTAATTTAAACCTTTACAAGATAACTAATAAAGAGAGAAAGATAAACGAAGTAAGTTTTATGATAGAAAATAATTATTTTATAACTAGGCCATCATTATAAGCTGATTTCCCGTATCAATTTATTGATAGATTATACGAATCGCTTACGTCGTCAATTTTATGTGATAAATTCTCCTATCTTTATATCATTACGATTAATATCGTTTTTATTATATTATTATAATATTAGATCAGAAAATATTGTATTTGCAATACTTGATAATAATATACATGTGCCGGTAACTAGGTTACAAAAAATTGAACAAGTTAATTTTATATACGATTTATTTTATATTATTATATTATTTATATATATATATATATATTATAAAATAAATCATAAGAACAATTTTGTTTAATTTTGCGACTTAACCCATTGTTATAGTTATCGAAAAATTGTAATAAATGTATCGTGGCAACTTATTTCTGAGAAAGATAAAGAACTTTTGTTTGAAATTTATCGCTTATGTTAAATAGTTTCTAACTGTTAAATATTCATGCATTAAACACCGAAGACAACACAACGCAAAAGCGATAGATTCTAACGTGAGCGAAAGAGTTCTCATTTTTTATTCATTGTAACCGACACAAAAGAAGTCATTTACATGTTCATAATAATAAATGTCGATTCGAAATTAATTTATCTATTTATTCATACTTTGTTATTAGTTATGGTAAATTAAAATTTTGTATCAAATTCAACTATGATATAAAATATCTATTTACAAATTTTTGAAATAATATAAAAAATAAATATATATACATCCAATTCTGTTTTTACACGAATTTTCTTTTACACGATTTTGATTTAACACGAATTAGGAAAAAAAATTTAATTCTCTTTTTACACGACTTATTTTGATTTAACACGATCCACCCAAATTCTAAGAAGTAAATTTTACTTTACTTTTATTTTTATAACTACGATATTGAAGACGAGGAATTAATTAATAAATCGGCCGGGCCAAATGTAACCAAAATGTCTCATGTTAGAAGGAATCGGTCAGTGAGGCACATCTCAGATTATTTTCACATTTAGCACACGTTTAGTAATCCATAAGAATATTCATTGTGCCCTTAAACATGGCGTATATATTCAGTCGTTTGCGAAAAAACGCGGATTGGCATTTGACAATGAATAAAATTTTTGTATGCGTAACTCATATTATATTGCCTAATTTTTATATTCATGAATTAGTGACATGTTTTTTTCCTTTTTAAATGATAATTTACTTTGTATGATACATGTGCAATCTTTATGAAATAAAATGTTTAAGATCCTAACATGAAAACTCATAGTTTATTGTATTATTTTTGCTGATTTCTTAAAACTGGAACCAATCTTCTATTTTTCCATATATGGAATATATTTTTTTACACATATTTTTCGGGAACTATATCTATCGTGTAAAAATAAAATTACGTGTATATATATAGAGAGAGATATAAATCTATAGTTTTATCGTATTTTGAAAAGGATAGATAGATAAAAGTGAGTGTCATAATCATTGATATTTCATCAGACCTATTGTATTCAACACTCCCATTCGATTTTTTTAATTAGAAAACATTTCGTACTAATGTAACGTTAGGCATACAGTTAAATTAAATGTTACTTTAATTGTTATATTTTTTAATTCGCTAATCGCGATTATTTTGACAACAACAAAAATACTCCACCCTAATATTTTTATATATTTGTTTTTATTTAAATGTATGATAATAAAAACTATCGCATGCTTTGTTATAGGGCAGAAATGTGCAAACTAGAAACGTCGCTACCAATAGAAGACTTTGAGGGACTTATGAAACAATCACTTGGATCTGGTTTAGAAATAAAGCACGTAACATGGAAACATTTAACTGATCCAGGAGAAAATTTTGGCAGTCTTATAGTGGCAGTTACTATCAATTTCATACAAAATTTTTCATCAAAGACGATGAACTTAGTTGTTAAACTTCCACCAGAATCTCCCTATCAAATGGATTTATTTAATAGTCCATTGACATTTAAAAAAGAATTGAAATTTTATAGTGACGTTGCACCAGCACTTGCAGATATTTATCATTCGCTTAATTTGAAAAATGAATTTTTCATACCACGCTTCATTGGGGGAAGATTAGGTTTAAAAAGTCCTGACAAATTTGATTCTCAGGCTGCCATTATTTTAGAGAATCTTACATTATCTGGTTATACCGTAGAAGATCGAATTATGGGAATGGATTTGGATCATGTTAAATTTGCTGTTAAAAAATTGGCTAAGTTACATGCAATGATAATTGGTTTAAAAGTCAAGAGACGAGATTTCTTTGAAAACACTGTACTACCTACTCTAGTACCCCCAGGTAATGAAACTGCGCTGAGGGCTGTTAAGGATATGATTAATAAAGCTCATGAAAATTTAAAATGTATAGAAGAAGCTAAACCATATTTAGAAAGTATTGAAGCTACATTAAAATCTTTCAGCATGGATAATGTAATTAATAAAGAAGATTTATGGACAACAATTGTACATAATGATTTTTGGGTTAACAATATGTTGTTTCGCCATGATGCTTCTGGTAATATAATTGATTTAAAAATAGTTGATTTTCAACTTTGCATTTGTAGCTACGGCATAGAAGATCTTATATTTTTCTTAATCTCAAGCTCTAAAAAAGAAATTCTTGATAATAACTTAGATGATATGATTGATTTATATTACGATTCTTTTATCGACGTTTTAAAAACGTTAGAAATTTATACGGAGCATTACAATAAAAGTAAATTTTTAGAATTGTTGAATAAACATGCACATAGAAAATTTTCACAGTGCATTTTTATGGTTCAAGTAATACAAGCTTCTCGAATCAGTCGTTCAGAATTGAAAAATAATGATAATAATGTAGATTTGCTTAAAAGAGAATCAAACAATATAGGCAATCAAAAATTGTTACATATAGTGAAAACATTTGAAAGAAAGAATTGGTTATTAAAATAAAATAATATTTTGTTTAAATTAAAGGATAGAATGTTCAAATTATGATGCGTGTTATATCATTATTTACGATTATAAACAATACTTATGGAATATAAATATGTAATCAATATTACATACTAGATTATTTAAATTAGTAAAATAAATCATACTCACTTCTAAGATATCCGCTACCGCATCCGGTAAATTGAACTCTCTAACGACTCTTAGACGCACCTGCCTATTTATTTCGCTTCGCGAAGATAAAGGTAAATCTATAGCTCGTAGACAACTTGGAGATTGCCTTAATTTTTGTTCCCGTTTAAGCATAGCAGCCATTGTTGATGAATCTGGAACTAAATATTTTTCATAATGTAATATTATTTGTAAGACTAAAAAATAAATATAGCATAGTTTATTTATAGGAAAAAAAGAAAAACTATACACAACATATACGATACATTCCTGTAAAATATTATCGAAAACTAATTAATATATAAATGTAATTGAAATAAAAGAAAATGTAATATTTCAAAAGATTATATAAATAAGTGAAAAATAAAAAGTACCTGGAAATGCAGCTGCAAGTACATCTACACCAGCAGTGCCCATAGTTCTTGGCTTTTCATCAACCATATATAATGCATCTGGTATATCCGCAACATACCGTGTTCTTTGCAATCTGATAAGATCTGTATCTTGAACTATCTGTTCCTCGACTAAAGACTACAAAAAATTCATTAAACAATAAATATATTTATTATATAAAATACGTATTTAATATACATTCAATAGAAAATAAGAATTACTCATAATAAAGTTGTTCGTATATTATAAATATAATTATTTGTACCTTAATTTCTTCATAATAAGGCATGAATAATCTTGGTCTAACAAAAAACCCATTCTTTTTTCCACCTCTTATCCAAGCATTTGTATATAAGCTATCTCTTCCATCTCCTATCATGTGACTAGGAGGAGTAGAAACCAAGCCTCTTCTGATAGCCTAATAATAAATAAAAAAACAATTAATGATTTTATTCTTTATCTTTTATATTCTTTTTTAAGTGACTTTATATATATAAAAAAATACTAGTTATGTATCTTATATTTAATTATTAAAAAAATAATATCTCACCTGAGTTAATACTTCACTGTTGTGTGGCAAGATATGGTCAATTCTGACAAGTGGTAGTAGTTCACTAAGTATTTCCCGTAATTCAATATCACTAAGATCTTTCTTTTTAACTCCCTTTCTTGTTACAGAGTGTACCGTATGATTTAATAAATTTGGTTCCCTATCTTCCATACGTCGAACTAATTCATGTTCGCCCCATTTTAAAACTGCCTGTAATATTTCCAACTCACTTGCTTGTAGAAAATGACTTTGCAAAACATTAACTAGATGTGCATGATCCAATTGATGAAGAATCGACGAAGAAGCGATTGATTGAAATTCTTCTCTTAGATAATGTAATGCTTGTCTATGAACCCATGCTGATCCATGGGGTTGACTACCCCATCTATAAAAGAGAGAGAAAGAATAATTATTTTTAATTATACCTTTGCACTTCTATATTTTTTATTAATGAAAATAAAATATTGTATCTAAAAGTATTCTTATATTTAATATATGCATGATAATATTATTTTACTTTTAAAATGAATTCACCTGAGTACTGTTGGAAGTGATTCTAATGTCAGACAATCTAGAATAATATCTTCACAGCCTTGAGATAATATATCTAACTCAAGAAATCTACCAATTTGATATAATTCCATTGCTTCTTCTAAAGGACTTGGTCTCATTCTCCCTGTATGAGTTAAGGCTTGCACCTATTAATTTATATTGTAACGTTTAAGAAATATTATATTGTAATAATGAGAATATATAAATAATGTAATTACCTCACCAAGACTACCTGCACTATTTCCACAACCATTGCCTCTCAGTATTAATGAGAGATCGACGGTATCTAAATAAACAGCATGTAACAAAACTCTAGCATATCTTTTCGGTATTACACTTTCATCCAAAATAATTCTAGTAGGTATATGTAACGTTCTTTCCGTACGATCTTCTCCGGACTTGGTACGCCTTTGTATCAAATTTCTAAAAAATGGCGATCTCGCAGAAAGTATTGCTTTATGGCATGGTAGCTCTAATTTCGGTCGAAATCCGTATTCAGAACAGCCGCTGTCTGGTCTTTGACAATCGCTGTCTGATGTAAATACTAATGCAGCGTCAGCATAATCACCGGTATCAAGTAAATATCTAAGATCTTGTTCTAAAGGATTTAATGATCCAAATTCTTCCCCAAGTCGTTGTAATATATTTGTTCCAAATGTTGCATCATGTGGACAAATATCACCAGTGTACAGGTATCGCAATAAAGCAGAAAATGTCTGAACTTCTAAATTAGGTGTTCTCAAATCTAAACATATTCGAGCACCATAACCTACAGTAATAAAGTAAAATAATAAAGACATATATAAAATATATTGTTTAATAATTTTAAAATTCTAAAATAATTAATAGAAAGAAGAAATTTTGGATATGTACCAGGATATCCTGCTAATAAATCCCTAAAATATGGACAACGTGCGGATAATATGGCCCTATGAATGGGAAAGCATGCACCTTGATAAACAAGATCGGCATCTGAACACTGCTTGTAATCGTACAGTAAAGATAGATCTTGTTTGAATGTAGCAGCTGGAGGTCTGGCTAATTCTGCTTGAACATGAAGATCCTTTAAAGCAGCTAAGGCTTCGTATTCTTCTAATAGTGCTATTGTCTCTAAATGGCTCCATGTCGATATCATGTCTCTAAAAATCCTGCCGTGATCACATACTTTAGATGAACGACGTTTTCTAATAAACTTTTTACGCAGTGTAGCAAATCCTGTCATTTTCTTTTTTCTTTCTCTATAATAAAAGATATAAACAAATTGATCGCATAATCAGCTTATTAAATATTTTATCTTTTAAATAGAATATTTAATACCTAATAGCAAGTCCATGTTGATCGTAGTTGCCAGAGGGCGAAAGCCTAGCTGCTTGAACCGAATCACCACCAACGCTTGGAACACTTGAAGATGCGGATGCACCCATTCTACGGATCATATGAGAAGCATCTTCTCCCCATCCACTCATGAACCAGCAACCTCTTTTATTATCACTATTTGTTTCCCTTGTTTCTCTACTTTGCAATGCACATGGAGTTAAAATCCTCAATACATTCATAGTTCAACTACCAACCTGAAATAATCATATTAAAATACTCTGACTAATTCTTTATTATATATAACAGCAATTATTTATTTTCTTATCTGTAATTTGTTAACAAAGACGTAAATTAAAAGTGATTATCTGTAAGTAAATATGTAAATTTACTGAAAAATTAAATGCCCTATTGTCACATTAAAATGTTATTACAGTATAAAAACAAAACAACACTGAATGCATATTCAAATGACAAAAGCAAATATGTCTTATCACGGATATTATCATCAAAAATTCTATTTTTCGTGTTAACGTAAAAATAAAAGAAAAAATAAATCATTCTCTACTATATTTTGCGAATGCAAAATATTAAAATGATAGAAAGAAAACTAAATCTAATGACCTATATCGACTATTAACATGGAAACATAGCAACAATTAATATTGAAAATAAATTTTAGTACCTTGGTCCTTTTTAAACATGCCTTTCACCCATCATTTCCATATTTGTACTGTAAAACGTGTTTGTGTGTGGATATAAATTGAAGCCAATGATCATCACAATGCATAACGACGGCCATGTTTACACTCAAACTGCAGTGTATAGTTTAATAAAAGTTCAAAGCGTAAAGAATTTCATTTATATATCCACATATCCATGATCAGAATAACCGTTTAATAACACGATCTAAATTAAAATTAATGATTACATTTATCCGATTAACATAGTTTTATTATAAATACGATTTAACTTAATACGAATCAGCTGTTCCATTTTTTCACAAATTATTATCGTACTACACCGTATATGCACTATATTACGAAGCGATGCTTCGTTAAACATAGGTTACGCCTACACTGCCATCTAACTCAGTTTACCTAAACAGTAACCAAGTGGTAATAGGTATTAGAATCCTGTGTATACAGTGTATAGTATATACCATCAAATATATGCACCACTCGATGCATTCGAATAATGCACCTGTTAGTTGACAATATCTAAATAAATAAATGAAATAAACTATTTTTTGTAGATATCACTTTAACGAATCTAGAACGAAGAAACTTTTTGTTAACAAGATTTTATGTCTCTCTTTCGATAAAAACAATAAAAATTATTCAAATACGTTCTTGTTTAATGTATTATAATTAAAATTAATAAATTATTTTTTGGCAGGATTCAATATACAATATACGAAATAGCTGTATGTTGGTTCGCGCGAAAATACGAATACGTTAAACGCATTCGAAAATCCATCAAGAGTATTTGTTCTTCTTTTGTTGGACAGAATGTCAAGCTTAATGACGTAAGATAAAACAAAGAAAAAGAAAAAGAGAAAAAGAGAGAGAGAGAGAGAGAGAGAGAAACTGTGAGATCATGTAATGTGATGTCATCACATACACATACAAATGCACAAAGCGTAACACACATGTAGGAAAATTTTTTGTTGCATTTTTCGCATCGTTGAATCTGCGAATAGAGTTGATCATGCACGTGTTTCAAAGAGAACGTGCATGTGTATACAATACATGCAAAAACAAAACTGAGGAGAAAAATGTTTCTATATATATATAAATGCAGGCCAAGTCCACATTTAGGATGAAGGTTATTAAGAAAAATGGGGCAGTCGAGATCCGGAAAGAAGTCTTAAAGCTCGTACTTAATAGTAGATGAGTAACGGACAAATATATCGTTAGAATCTTGTTGAAGGATAAGAATAGATTGAAAAAATCAAAAGGGGGAATATATTAAATACGTCGAGGCAACTTGACAGTCAATCGGATTTGGCGGGAGATTCCCGGCATTGCTCAAGAGACATGTGCGATTAGAACGTGTTCACTGTCAAATCTCTCATATGAATAATTTTTATATTTAATTAATACATATTTTTTTATTAATATTAAATAATCTTATAGACTTTTCTCTATGTGTATGTACATACGAATTCTTTACTTTTTTTTTTTAAAGAAAGTAAAAAATATACAGTGATATGAAATTGATGGAAATCTATCTTATTAAATGGCGTCCTAAAGTAACGTAAAATTTCTTGGAAAAAGCAAAGATTACAGATGTTTTTTTTATTATTATGAAAATACTCGCTAAATGGGCGTAAAAATGTGCGATTATTATAAAAAATTGTATGCAATTATGTTATAAATAAAGAATGATTAGGTTTGACACTTTGATTGCTTAATAAATTGGTGCTTTATCGTCGCTAGTGTATCAGCTACTGATAGTTTCTCTTTTTAAGATAACGATAACTTTTTGAAGATAAATTCTTTTATATTTACTAAAAGATTATCTGCTATTCATTAACTATGTTAATATATCCAGTCACCTTAAATAAGGACAAGACGTTTAGCTATGAACATATTTAAAAGATGATGAATAAAAGTGCGTGTCGTGAGACGTGGTAGAAGAATATAATTTTACATAACGGTGGGGATATAGTTTTAACAGAAATATCCATCTCCTGGTGCTGTATGTGAAACTGATTTTGATTTCTATTTCTGCACAAGGTGTATGCAGGTGGAGAACAGTGACCTTTCGGAATAGTGTGTCAAGTTCTTATTGTATAAAAAAAGAAATAAGGGGTAAGGATATTTTACAATTAATCGAGCACCTGCTACAACGATCTAATATCGTTTCATTTGTGAACATGATTTTTTTGTTTTTATACAATTTTTATAAATTTTTTTGTTCTCAACCAGTTTTTTTACATTATCGAATTTAAAAGAAAATAGAATATTTTGTAAAATGTTTTAAATATTATAGTTAATATGTCATAGAAATTGAAACTTTTTTTAATGGTCGATATATGTATGACAAATATATCCTATCATATAGTAGCCATAATTAAATAAGTATTTCTAATATAGTTGTAATATACGAGTCATAATTAATATTTTTGAAATTTCATCTAAATATTTATCTTATTGTTTGTAAATTATTTATTTCATAATAAATTTCAAATCTATATATATATATATATCTATGAAGTTTGTTTAATTGTCCATATGTTTAATAGAATATTATATATTTATATAAATGATTTTGTACTGTATGTGTATTACATATAAAAATATATATATCATTTACAATTTCTGTTATTGTTATTTATATATGTAATTGTTTTCTAATTTAGTATTATATTAGATAATTGATTTACTTATATATCTATGTGTAAAATCATCACATCTAATTAACATATTATTTATAGAAAATGTCAAATGATGTATATACAGATATATGGTACGATGTTATTCCACTTCACCATAGGCCAGATTTAGTTAAAGAATGTTGTAAATTACTCAATACAGAATGGCCAAGAAGTGAAACAGCTCGGTATGTTATATTATAATATCTTTAAACATCGGAATAAAATAGTTCCTAGCGTTACTAAAGTATTACGTAAAGCAACATTTCTCAGTTCATTTATACTAATATTTCCTCTTCTGTTATTTTAGATTAAAATCTTTAAGAGTATCTTGTGATGAATTTCCTACGTGTCTGATTTTATTAGATAGAGAAAGCCGAGTACTTGGTCATTGCAAAGTTTCTTTGATACCTAAAGTACGTCATAGTTGTTACATCGAATCAGGTAATTCTATATATGATTACTTTTATAAGAATTTAAAAATATTCAGACAAATATTTATGATTTATATTTGTATTTCAGTTGTAGTTGATAACAAATCCAGAGCTCAAGGATTGGGATCTAGATTGTTACGTGGGACAGAAGAATATGTGGCAAGGAAAGGTTTCAAAATGGTATACTTAATAACAAAAGGTCAAGAACTATTTTATATTAAAAATGGATATAAGATTTGTGACCCCATCGAAACGTGTGGATTTAGAAAATTTGTACCTCCTATTACCAAAACCGAAGCAAAGCATAAAGAAAAAATTACTACTTTTTCTGGTCCCCCACCCCCTCCAATGCCACAATTAGTATTTGAATATTTTGATATAAGAATGCTATCTCAAAAAACACACATGGTTAAAAAATTATGATAATTATATTTTATAGATTTTTTCAAAATAACTTTTTTGCATTTGAATTTATTATTTTTATGAAGATAGCCATCCAAAATGATAATCCTTGACTTTATTCCCGAGTGAATTATGACTAATATATAACACAGTTGATTGATTGATTTTATGTTTTTAAGTATCAAATGTTACAAATATTTCCTGCATGTGTATTTTATTGATTTTGATTACTTTTTGGAATTATCATTTTATTTAAATCAATATGTAGGATATTAGGTACCAATGTTTATATTTAAATATTAGAAGCTAATAGAAAACTTAAGAAATAATTTTTTCTTACGCTTTGTATATATATATATTAACTGTTATTTTTATGGCCTTTAAATTAGACATTTTGGTAGATTAGAATTTTATTTTGGTAATTCGCTTAGCATAATTATATCTTACAATATCATACATATTTATTTTCATATAATAATTGGGTCGATCGATTTTATTATGCTTCCCATCATATTTTCAAGACTGATTTGTGTGAATAATGTACAAATAGATTACAATACTAACAATATATTGTGCATATATTTATCTACAAGACCATAATTCATAATTATGAGCTAGTTGCAATACCACATATTTTTTGATAATGATCTGATTGTTCAAGGCAATCTACAAGAAATGCTCCCAAAGCGTATTTTGAAATGGCACGACCTGGAGATTCATCGTGTTTTATAACATATTCTAAATTATTTGAACCTGTAAAATAATTGCAATAATTATAACAATCAGATTGATTGAATTTTTTAAGATATAAGCAAATCGATAAGAAAATGTTTCTGTACTAGAAATATGTGGTGGTAATATAGCAATCCATTGTAATCCACTTTCTTTCAGAAGATCAAACATACGTTGATGATCTGCATTCAAATCTTTGAATATAGCTGGTACAGCATCAGGCTTATAGAATAAAAATGCTATAAAAAAAAAATGAAAGAAAATACAAAAAATTTTATTTTTATAAATAAGATTTTAGCATGTTTGATAATAATCTTAAAATGATATTTTACCTGACAAACATACGGAAACCAATTCAACGTTATGCATCTTCATAGCGTCTAATATATTTTTCATACCTTCCGATAGTATGGTAGTTGGTTCTTATGGTAATTGAAAAGAAATATTTATTTATAAATATATTATTTGTTCACACATATGTGTGTGTGTGAATAAGTAAACTACATATTTACTATAAGTGTAATAATAATATCATTCTTACTAAGATCATTTCTAGTGCCAAGTGCAACAACAACAGCATCTCTACCAGCTACGGCTTTTGAAACATCTGTATCGTTGGTGACATCTCCAACAATTATGTCCACCTTGTCTTTAATGTTTTCCGGTATCTTGGCTTTGTCTCTTACAAGAACTCTTACATCCATACCTAAGATAATTTATTTTTCTACTACTAGGTATTAAGTTTCTATGATCAAAATCATTATATAAAGCAAAGCATTAAAGATTGCTTGTAAAAGGATGATTTTTCATATTCCACAGTATACAAATATAGCGTGATAATACTGATATCAGCAGAAACTGTATATTTAAAATATTGAGATGAATAAATGACACAAAAGCAAGTTATGAAGATGAAATATAAATATTAAATAGACAAATGACATTATTAAATATTTATTTTTTTAATTCATAAAGTCAATAAATATTAAATATCAGAATTAACATATATTCAAATTTATAACTTTCAGCACATAGAAGTATAATAATATTTGATTTCAATTAGTAACTAAGGACATTATTATAAAAGGTAAATATTTTTGTAAATTTTCATTTTTTTTAAAGAATAAATATAGAATTATTAGACAGATTATATATATATATATATATATAACCAAACATATATATTTATAATGTAGACAGTATAAATAATTATAATAATTATATTGAAAAGATTTTTTGAAAATCTTACATTTAGCAAATCAATAAAATTGTATAAATTAATTAATCGGTTGTAATTTTAAATTTACATTACATAGAAGAACATTAAGAAACAATGAAATAATGCTTTGTCATGCACGATACAAGTACAAATGTATTGAGAATTCCATTTAACAAATATAACAATAGTTTCTTTTATAATTGAAGGTATCTTTAATTATACAAATTACCCTTTTCTACGGCATGGTTTAAAACACAGAGTCCGGTATTTCCCGTAGCTCCGAATATTACAATCCGTTTCGCCATGATATTACAAATATTTTAGAATATGTATTTATCTCTCTATTTTAAAATGATATGGTATATCCGTAATATCACAATTTGATAATCACTAACAATTGTGTAGAATTGTGTCTAATCATTCAGTGTGGCTCCTATAAATATATATTAGTATGTGTTTATTATAGATAACTATAGCAGACGATAATATAATAGATGATATCAAAGTGATCCATCTGAGATACTTTCTGCGCACCTAGTAACCCTTTCAAATGCACTGCATCTACCGTAATAACCAATCAAAAAATATCTGGATTATTTCGAGTTCTCTGATTGGTGTTTTTAAATAACATGGTCGACTGACTCCAGTTTCTGAAAGTTCTTTCTGAAAGATGTCACGTTGGATTTTTAATAATATATTATTTTACATTTCGTTTATTAATGTATTCATATTTTATTATGCGGATACTAGTCTTGCAGCAGAACAAAAAAATGTCCTTCTACTTTTGGGTAAACAAATATATTTTATTTCTTTTTTTGATTATAATTATTGTATATTTTTGTGTATATATTTAATTTCAAATTAAAATAATTGAATTTGTCAATAATATTTAAATATAATATCTTGCTGTATAAGAATTATTGTCTTATTTATATACATAATTTTGTTATAATATATAATACACATATTTTTATGATAGTATAAGACACATGATTATTTTCACCATATGCTTTTATAATTAAATATAAAATAACAATTATAAATTAATATTTAAACAATGTACGCGCGTATTACTTAGTTCCTCTATTATTTTATTAAAAAATGAATCTAATTTAATATTGATGAAAAATAAATGTACATATGAATATTTTTATTTAATAAGTTTTTTTATTTTCTACTTTCAGCTGACGATGCTGGTTTTGAAATGAGATCTTACTTAAATAAAATTTGCCAATCACCTAACTTAGATTTATTAGCAAAAGAAAGTTTGTTATTTAATAATGCATATACTTCAGTTAGCAGCTGTTCTCCTAGGTAATATAAAATTATTATAAAATATTTCTTTTTATTTTTATCTAATCAAATATTATATATATATATATTTTTTTTTTATAGTCGTGCTGCACTATTAACTGGCTTACCAAGTCATGAAAATGGAATGTATGGATTACATAATGGTATTCATCATTTTAATTCATTTAATAATATTCAAAGTTTGCCAAAAATATTGCAGAAAAATCATATTAGAACAGGTATATAAAAATAATGTAAATAATTAAAAAATTGCAATGTTTTACTACGGATTTTAAATAATTTTTTTTTTAGGTATAATTGGTAAAAAACACGTAGGTCCAGATAAAATATTTTCATTTGACTTCTCGCATACTGAAGAAAATAATAATATACTACAAGTAGGACGAAATATCACTAAAATAAAACTTTTAACCAGGGAGTTTCTTTCCCAGAATAAAACACAGTATGTTTTTATTTTTTTTTTTAGATAAATTATTTTAGAGGGGTAGTATCGTATTATTAAATAATAAAATAATTATTTACAGACCATTCTTTTTATATATTGCTTTTCATGACCCACATCGATGTGGTCACACACATCCACAATATGGCAATTTCTGTGAAAAGTTTGGTAACGGAGATGTTGGAATGGGTACAATTCCTGATTGGCATCCGATATATTATCAATGGGATCAAGTAAAAGTACCATATTTTGTTCAAGATACTGAAGCTGCTAGAAGAGATATTGCTGCGCAATACACTACGATTTCTCGCTTAGATCAGGGTAACGAATGATTGATTTTTTATAAAAATATTAAAAAATTAATTAAATGAAATTTAGTATAACATAGAATTCATATTTTTATAGGCATAGGTTTGGTTTTGAAAGAGCTCGAAGATGCAGGCTATAAAGATAATACTTTAATAATTTATACGTCTGATAATGGGATTCCATTTCCAAATGGTCGTACTAATTTATATGATTCTGGTATGTTCAACAAATAGCATAATATAAATACAGATATTATTCTAACGAAAAAAATTATTTTATTAATTTTTTTATCTGATATAAGGTATAGCAGAACCTATGATGATTTCATCACCAATACATAAAGAAAGAAGAAATCAAGTAACGTATGCTATGACATCTCTATTGGACATAGTACCCACTTTGTTAGACTGGTATAATATATCTTATGAAAATGCATTGGATAAAAATGAAGTTAATCTACCAAATCTTACAGGCAGATCTCTTCTTTCACTTCTTATAAAAGGTAAATAATATATATTACATATCATATATTTGCTTTATTATAAAATATTTTGGTACTTATACAGAGCCACAGGAAGAGAGATCAATTTTTGCTAGTCAAACGCATCATGAAGTTACTATGTATTATCCTATGCGTGTAGTTAGGACCAAGCGCTATAAATTAATACATAATTTGAATTATAAGATGCCTTTTCCAATTGATCAAGATTTATATTTATCTCCAACTTTTCAGGTAATTTCTATAAGTTATTGATTTTTGTTTTAAAGATTATTATAAATATTTTCAATTTAATTAATATATAATTTTTTTTTATATATATAAAAGGATGTTCTAAATAGAACGAGTAAGAAACAACCTCTTCCATGGTATAAAACATTAAAGTCATATTATCAAAGACCAGAATGGGAACTGTACGATTTAAAATATGATCCTGAAGAAAGGAACAATGTATTTTTCAAATCTTCGATGAAGGTAAAGTAAATTCAAGTATCTACGTACATTATTAAATAATAAAAATATTAACTTAAAACCTAATTTTATAGAATATAGTGATCAATTTACAAAAACAATTGCTTGATTGGCAAAAAGCTACCAGTGATCCATGGGTATGTTATCCCCATGGAGTATTAGAAAATACCGGTGATTATATAAACAATCCGCAGTGTATGCCTTTATATAATATAGATTAGGAAATATGATCTTTTTTTAATAATTCTCTTTTTATACTCGTTAATTTTGTTATGTATTCAATGATATATGATCTATCAAGATAAAAAGTTTATTTCTATATTTTATATTAATGTATATACATATATATATATATATTTACAAATAAATAAATATATTAAAAAATACTTAATACATCGCTGTGTATCCTTGTTTTAGTTTGTTTCTCCTCGCAATAATTTTGCTATTCGTGACAACGAAGCATTTTTTGTATCTCTTTCACGATGTTTGTAAAGTATCTCATTTAAGTGATGAACATATGTTGAAGATTTATTGGCATTTTTTTCAATAGTTTTCAATTCTTTCGATATTTCACTGATCTAATAATAAAAACATAAGTTTTATTTCAGAGAAAAAAAATTATTATATAAAATTTTTAGAAGAGATCCGAAAGAAGGAATCATACATATTGTTCGTATCCTAAATAACGTTTATACTTTTGATTGTTTATATAAATTTGTTTGATTTGAATTGTTAATAGAAGGCACACAAGAAGGCTGCCCAGTAAAATAAAGGAATTTGTATTTTGAATTCCACGAAGGACAAGCATGACACTTTTTAAATTTGTTGTTGTGTTGTAATAACCCCAATATTTATGTACCTATAATGTTAAAGAATTTGATATAAAATAACAATTTTATTTTAATACATAAACACAAAAGCATATAATTCTGAATAATAAAGAAATACCTCAAAACACGTATTTAAATTATTAATTATTATATGTATTTACGAATAATAAAAGTAATAATACTGAATTATTAACCATAAATTAAAAAATAATTTTAATTTTTATTTGTCAATGACAATAAATTATCATGGATAATTAAAATATAGATAATGTTAAATGGGTACATGCGTGCAGATTTATGTACAATGTGTGTAATCATATAATATCGTATAAATAATATGTATATTCAAAATTAAAGCTGTTCACTACTATGCATCTGATGGGTGCAATGCAGTAACAAGCGTGGGCAAAATATAAACTAAAAGTGCAACAGAGGAGCAGCGTACCACCATGCATATTTAGTAACAGTGTATAAGCTTGTTAGATTATACTAATCTCTAGTTTGTGTTGGCTAAAGTATTAGTATTAGTAGGCTTATTCGATTTTTCAATTTTTTATCTGTGCATTAGATATCGAATCAAGATTATTTTATAATTATCGTTTGTTATAAGTGTTTAAATACGGGTGTACTAATGTTTAAACGAATGAGTTATTATCTAAATATTAATTTAATATATTATACGGACTTGGAATATTGTTTAAATTATTTGAAAGTATTAATTATTAAAGTTTACCCATACGAAAAGAAACTTTAGATACTTTTATGTCAGGCTAATAAAAACTTGAATGGTAATTCATTTTTGAACTAATATTCATAAGTAATTATCATTGTGACTACTCGATGCGCCACAATCGAGCTGCATATATTTTAGTTTCAGTTCATTTAGTCTAATCTATTCCATGGTACAAGGTCTGATATTGAAAATGGCAAATGGCAAGGGACTTTAAGGCCAGTTTAAGTAAACATTTGTGCATTAGTTGTTTTCGATCGGTTAAATGTGTCATCATAACAATGTAATGTGGACTGTGTGCGATGGCGAACAGAGACATAACAGGCCATCAGCAACAGTTCATTGAAGAAATTAATTACAATGAAATTGAAAGAGAGCAGGTAGTTCATCTAGTCGATTGCTATTCCTTTCGTTTATGATTTTCTATAAATTTTCTGTTGATGGTTCTTTCGGAAGATTTGTAACATTATACAATATTAATTAATGACAATTTTCTTTTTTTTTTATAATAATACATTTCTATGAAATTGAGTATACTTATTGTCAAAAGTAACCTCAAATCTTAATTTTTTTAATCGTGTACTTTTTTTACTAGATATATAGCTACCCAAAAACATAAATAATTTTAATTTATTATTTATACATACTTAACCATGGAAATATAATTTATTGTTGAATTAAAATGGTTGTTTGATTTGTTAATTATTTTTAATGACAGGTAGTTGGTAAGGGGTCTTTTGGAGTTGTATGGAAAGGAAAGTGGAGAGGCCAATATGTTGCTGTAAAGCATATCAATTCGGAGGGTGAAAGAAAAGCTTTCACGGTAGAAGTAAGACAATTATCGAGAGTATTTCATCCGAATATTGTCAAATTATATGGTGCATGTACCAAAAATCCAGTATGTTTGGTAATGGAATATGCAGAAGGTGGATCATTATACAATGGTATTTTATATTATAATTTTTTGTTATCTTATCTTCTATTTATACATTAAAAAATAATAACTCTTTGTATATGTTATAGTTCTTCATTGCAATCCGCAACCACGCTATACTGCCAGTCATGCAATGAGCTGGGCTCTTCAATGTGCACGCGGTGTAGCATATCTTCACAATATGAAACCCAAACCATTGATTCATAGGTAAATTAAATGAAGTTCTTTTTAGTTAAGTTAACTTAGATGAAGCTAATGTGTATTTAATATTAATAGGGATTTAAAGCCACCGAATTTATTGCTAGTCATGGGTGGACAAACACTTAAAATTTGTGATTTTGGTACAGCTTGCGATTTGAATACGTATATGACTAACAATAAAGGGTCAGCTGCATGGATGGCACCAGAAGTATTCGAAGGTTCAAGATATACTGAAAAATGTGATGTATTTAGTTGGGGTGTCATTTTGTGGGAAGTTCTCTCACGTAAAAAACCTTTTGACGAGATTGGTGCATCTGCGTACAGAATAATGTGGGCTGTGCATATAGGACAAAGACCACCCTTGATAGAAGGTTGTCCGAGACCTATTGAGGAATTAATGACAAAGTAAGATCATTATTACAGTATATAATATTTAATTTTTGAAAAAATATATATATATCTTTTTTCTATATTGTCATAACATTTGAATGTTAATATCAGATGTTGGCAGAAATGTCCAGAAGATAGACCTTCAATGGACGAAGTAGTGAGAATTATGACTATTCTATTTGAATTTTTTAACAATAATTTAGAACCTGTTGAATATTCCTTGGGTATGTTATATTATTAAATAATGGTATTTATTGTAGTAGAAACTATTTTGTAATATTACAAATTATATTTCTAACATTATTACATGTTTATACAATTAAACAGGTAGCGAAGCAGACGATATCGATGGCAACGAAGATACAAAAGATGATATTTTGGATATGGTAACGACTTTAGATACTCGGATAAATGGATCAGTGATTAATGGAACAATATGTCCAAACGTTACCCCATCTGTCAAACAAACTAATAATTTAACAGATAGTGAATTTAATTCGTATCCAGTGATTTCTCAACAGTCCTCCAATAATGCATCAACGCATTCCTCACCACAAATAAAAAGATCGTTACCGCAATGTAATCCTATAATACCACAAAGTACATCATCATCCGTTGAAAATGCAAATCGTAACGCAAAAGACATTCTATATGCGACACCAGCAATGAAACGAGGCGATAGACAATTTATTTTACCACAAAGTGAATCCAGTATGACACCATTACACGTTAATTGTGATACGGTTGGTATATGATCTTAAGAAAATATAAAAGAAAATTATTCTTTACAATGAATCTGTTAACAGTTATTTTGATTACATTTTAGGATGCATGGGAACTTAGTAATTTTTCAGATTCGTCGTGGGAAATTCATAATATGGCTGGTTTAGATAAAATGGTGCAAAAGACAAAGAAAACAGTTCGTGGTAAGTAAAATTCAATTAATTCATTCAATTTACCTGCAAGTTCTAACAAATTCCACATTTCTTCCTTTATTTCCTTCTAAATAGATATAATAATGAATTTCAATAATTATCTACATTCGTACGTGATACGAGGATTTACGATCTATACGAATATCGCTTTAAGATGCTTTTTGTGTTTATTATTGTTAGACGTTGATCGTAAACTTCCTTTTGATTCATTTCCGGTATTATTAAATGTCCATCGATTTGCATCTCTCACAAATGCAACCATTGAGTGGATAAATAAAAGAGAAATTAAAAAAAAATGTTTAAAAATGAAATTGATTAGACATCTTCCTGAGGATTATTTCAATTAAGAACATTAGAGTTGAAGAGAATCTCTGTTCATCAGTATTGTCGATGTTACGAGGTAAAATGTGACACATAAAATAAAATGAAAAAAAGAGAGAAGGATGTCGTTGAAAAATACACGGTATCACATAGTGATCGTATACTTGGAATTTTGAAAATTAATAGAATATATATGGGTGTACCCTGGCAAAGGGCCCACAAAGACTTAAAAGAGAAAGAGAGTGATGCGGTGTACACTAAATTTAAACTAACGGCTAATCGGTAGGTTGCGCAGACTCGCACTTGACTGGCACGTTGTGACGACGACGACGACGACAACAACGACGACGACGACGACGACGACGACGACGACGACGACGACGACGACGACGACGACGACAACGACGACGATAACGACGAGGAAAAGAGAACGATGCGATGACAAGATGAAAAGAGAAAGAAAAAGAAGAAGGGAGAGAAAAAGAGAGAGAGAGAAAGAAAGAAAGAGAGAGAGAACTTCTGAGATTCTCGAGGATGAATCAAGCCGTTGAACACGTTTTGTTCTTGGCTCTCGCCTGTATGTATATGTAGAAATGTGTGGTGTTCCCCTCCTCAGGGAGTAGTATGGTAGGGAAGTATTTAGAAGCAGGTGTGGTTGAGTCAGCATCCCCGATATAGATCTTCGTTTGTTTAGTAGAGAGCCGACTCCCTGCGGAGGAGCACCTTAACGTCTACGAATTATCCAGCGCGAAACGCACGAGAGCCACAACTTTGTTGTTATCAAGAATATTATCCTTCTATCAAATTCCTCTTTATCTGTTACGATATTAAAATCTTTTTTATATTTTATTTGTACTTTTATTTAAAACAAATTTTGTTATTATTATTTTATTTGTTTTTTTTTTTTTCTTATTTTCGTTGACGAGAGAGTTAGGGGGAACAGTTTGTTAATGATACATTTTCGGCGAACACTCGATTCTTAATTTTCTTTCATATTTTTCTCATTTATTTTTGTGCAATATAATAATAATTACATGCTCGAGAGTTCCTCGAATATCATCATGATCTTTGTGACGTATTTTTCAATAATCTATTTCTTGGAAAGATCTTGATTATTTGATTACTCTATTCGAAGAAAAAGAGAGATTTATTCATTTGAATGTTAAGGAATAAAGAAACCCGTTGACAAGTCCGAACGATACACTTTAACGGATGAACAATATGTGCGACGATTATCCGAATATTGTAGGGACCGATACTTTGAAGCGTTGCTGGGTATTACTACGTTAGTATCCTGCTTTATCGTTAAATACAATTCTCTTGAGGTTTCTCCTTGAAATATCATTTCCATATTTCTACCACCACAAAGTTTACAGAAGAACAACAAGAAGATCAAATACAATACTATTTTGATTATAATTAATGTAGTTTTTTTTTTAACTATAACATATAGAAATAAGTGAATTATATTAGATATTAATATTAAATTTAGTTATTTAAATATTCTGTTAAAACATGGCAGGTACCAGCACCACTAGCGAGGACTTGGATAACGTGTACCGTCTCTTAGATGCGGATTTAAGACCCCTTACACCGGACCATACGTGCGAACGTTCTCGTGAAATCTTTGAAGAACACAAACAATTAGCGCAGGAGTATCTAAAAGTACAAACGGAAATAGCCCTATTAGGACAGCATAAAAATGAGATGTTAAAAAATATAAGCATAGATAATCTACGACAACAACAAGAACTACGAAAATTAGAGGATGAAAAGGTAACGGCATTTACAAATAAAATTGTTAATTAAAAAAGAGAAACGAAAAATCCTATAAAAATTTTTATAACAAATTTGCAGGAATCTTTGGTGAAACTGTATCGAAACTTAAAACGACAATTAGAGATAATGAAAAGCAAGAGAACGAGTAATAATCCTGTAAACAATTGTATACCAACGATAAGTTCTGCCGTTTCTGGTAACAATGGTTGGGTTGTGGTGCCGCGACAAGATCCTTGAAAACTTTTTAGTCGCAAGAATGTCCCTAATGTGTTTCTTATTAAACATGATAGTTTTATAAAACGAAAAGTTAAGAATTTAAAATGATTCGGATTGGAATTTAAAATGATTCGGATTAGAATTTAAAAATGGCATCAATTTATTGCATTTGAAATTTAACATTGGTTACTTTGTCCTTTATAAATCTTTGTTTATCTTGGCTAGATGCCTAACGTGTCGGACTATGACTGTTCCTTAATAGTGATTAAATGTATTGATGGTGTTGTACAATGAGATGATTTACGATCTAAATAAGATATTTGAAATTTAAATAAGATGAGAATCGTAGGAACGAAAATATATATATTATCAATTATAAAATATATTTATATATACATACATATAGATCTTTGGTACTAATTCTAAGAAGTGTATCTCTATATTGATAATACAATAGAATATTTTCATTTAAAAATATGTAGAAAATAAGATTGAATATGGCCAAGAAGTACTTAATATGTCGCGAATAATATAAAATACGTAAAGATGTAATGTGCACGTAATATTTCGTTGCTCAATACAATTTTTATCTTTAATTACGACATTGCAGTATATTGGCATTATAACATATTTGTAGAGAGAGCTTCCTTATACGTTTTAAAATAATTTTCAGTTTTAGGTTTCTCTTTTCTTTTTTTTCTTTTGTACAGTTTTAAAAAATGATTAATGTGTAATAATAATAATTACGTTTCTTATTAAGTAGTTATGTTTTGAAGTAATCCTGTGAAATATATGTATATTATGACAAAGTATTTTTTTCTGCTTGGTTTAATATTGGCTAAAAAGTTCAAGCATGTAGAAATAGTACAAATTCTCCTAAAAAAAGGAATTTGATTTCCTTTTCCGATCTAGTCTTATCAATAAATTTGTATGATATCGTTTTATTGAACAAGTTTAAAAGTTACAAAATATTATTTAGCTATCAATAATCAAATTGAAATTTCTCAGGATATATGGTAGAAACAAAATATATAATATATATATATATATAGTGAGAGGGAGAGAAAGAGAGAGAGAGAGAAAGGGAGAGAGAGAGAGAGAGAGAGAGAGAAAGGGAGAGAGATAAAGAAATTGTTATTACAGAATAAAAAAGTAAAGAACATTCTAATGAAATGTGACAGAATTTAGAGAAGTTCAAAGACTATGTGTAATAAAATACATTTAGCAAGGACATTTTCATTTTATCATATGAAGATGGAGCTCGTTGGATACATGCATTTTATAGTGCGAATTAATACTATATAAAGATATATATTTTCTATGAAAAAAACTATCCACGCTTGTTTGTAAAAGAAACATTTTTTCTGCATTTTTTTTTGTTTTTTTATGCCTCTGTTCCTATACCTGCTTTTTTATTATAGCCTAAATATTATTAACTGTTTTATATCTTAAGAAGATATAAATTATATTGTTTACATTTTAATTTTGAAATAAGTTTTGTAACAAGTTCACAAAAAATGAAATATTAATAAATTGTATACTTAATTAGATCAATTTGAACAAAATTTGTATAAGTTATCATATTATTCAATTTTTTTTTAGATAACAATTTTAGCAAATATGTACTGCATTTATATCTAACGAAAAATTTTTATTATGAATAATAGTAATTAATCGTGAGACTATAGCATTTCAAATATACAAAGAAATACACTGTGAGTTTTTCAATTTTCTTAAATTAGATACTTGAACTTTCTAATAATTATAAGTCTTAAATAAATTAAAGTACATACAAAAAATTCTATACGATCGATAAGTAATTTGTTATAAATTATCGTAAAGTTAAATTGAAATTAAGCTATTAATAAGAAAACATTATTTTAAAAAATATCGATATGGATTTGTAAGTTTATTTTGTCGATTTTTTCCTTTTATAATTTATAATTAATAATTAATAACGTTTATAATATATACAATTTTATATAAACGAAACACTAGCGCCACTCCACAGTTAGAGGTACGATTCGTTTACTAATTTATATAATTTTAAAAAATTAAATTAAAAATTACTACATTTTAAAATAATAATGTTTAAGCAAATGTATAATATAAATAATATAGTCGTTAATTAAATGAAAATATAGCATGGTTCATAATAATAATCCTTAACATTTAGAGAAGACATTTTTAACATTCGTACTATTTATATATATTTCACATATAATAGTATAACTAGAGTTAAAATTTTTAGAAAAGTAATAAATATTTAATAAAATCCTAAAAAACTTTACAATAGTTATTTTTAGTTTTGTTTTATCCAGCAACATATAGCATTGAAATTGTGCGCATTTACCTCTTAGGTTAGGAGAAATATTTAATATTATATTTCTTGCCAATGATATTCTTAATCATATAACAAAATAAATCTATATATATATATAATAATAATTAATATTATTTTTCTTTTTTATTAAAATAACAATTCAATTGCATTTAAAGTTACTTTCTAACAAAGGAATGTGTGACAATAGAAACATATTGACTAGACATGACAAATATGATACAAAGCTAATGAATACTCTAATTGAACATTACAAAATTAATATGCATTGTAATATATTAATTACATTTTCCACACTTTGCGTTTAATTTTTTATTATAATTTCTAATTGGTCCAGAAAATTATTTATACGTTTACATTTTCATACAGATAATAGTCATTAAATTGTCAGAGAGATATTTCTTTTAAGTAATTAATTTGAAATTAATGTAAGTACGTAATGCACAGATTGTTTTTCTTTTTTCAAGAATTGTACCAAAAATCTGTATGATGTTGAAAATATAAAACCATAATATACATATGTGTATAGCAAAACAAGATATATTACGATAACAGTTTAATACTTTATAAAATACTTATTAGTCATGTATATTTTAACATCCATAAAGTTTAACAATTTGAAGAATTGCACATTAAATGATACTTTGAGTATTGCATATTTACATAATTTGAATAATTTTATTTTTTTGTTACGTATGATATATTGCTATAATTTTTTGAATGAATGCAAATGTTATT